GAAATGAGAAATGAATGAATAGCTTGATTCCATGCTAATGGTGCCTGTTTCAAGCCATATAGCGCCTTTTGCAATTTGCAAACGGAGCCGGGTGTTCCTTCAACTCCTTCAGGAATGGACATATATATTTCCTCCTTCAGTTCACCATGAAGAAAAGCATTGTTGACGTCTAATTGTTCAAGAATTAATCCACGTTCGTTTGCTACAGCCAGCAACACCCTAACTGTTGCAAGACGAACCACTGGAGCATATGTTTCTTCATAGTCAAAACCCTTTCTCTGTGAACATCCTTTGATAACAAGTCTTGCCTTGTATCGTTCAATATTTCCGTCCATGTCTTTCTTCAATTTGAAAACCCATTTACTGGAGATAGCTTTCCTTCCAGGTGGTAGTTCAGTGTAAGTCCAAGTTTTGTTTTCCTTTATAGAGTTAAGTTCTTCCTTAACAGCTTGATACCAATGATCCTTATCATCACGTGCTGCAATATCCTTGTAACTTTGCGGTACATCATCGACAAAAGATTCAGCATTCAGAGCAAGAACTGCATAATCCTGTAAGTATCTTGGCACATTCCTCTTTCTGGTAGAGTGTCTTATTGTTTCTTCTTCACTTACATGATCTTCAATTTCTTCTTCCTCTTCTTCAAGATCTGGTATAGAAATTCTTTGATTTTCATCAGACAATGATCTGGGTTCTTCTTTGTTCTTGTCTTCCTTTTTACTCGATCTGGATTCATGTACATGATCGGGAATCCAGTCTTCAATTGGTGTGCTCTCAAAGTTAAATTTTTCCTCATAAAACACAACATTTCTTCCAGTGATTATTTTTCCTTCTTCAGGACACCACAGTCGATAACCATTAGGACAATATCCAGTAAAGTAACACTTCAAGCACTTGCTGTCAAATTTACTCGATATTAATTCCTTAGGTAACAGCAAATATGCTGCACAGCCAAAAACTCTTAACTTACTAAGATTAGGCTTCTCATTGTACCATAAAGCAGCAGGGATCTTTCCTCCTAAAGCTGATGTCGGACTTCGGTTGATTAGATATGCGGCAGTTCGAACAGCTTCTGACCAAAATGTCTTACCTAATTCACAATTAAGTATTAAACAACGAGCCCTTTCAACAATAGTCCTGTTCATTCGTTCTGAGACACCGTTCTGTTGAGGAGTATATCTGATTGTGAACTCATACTGAATTCCTTGCTCCTCAAAAAACTGCTTCAACTCATTTGACATGTATTCACGACCATTGTCACAACGGAATCTGCTAATCTTTAGATTGAAATGAGATGTAGCCAAAGCATGATACATCTTGACGTATCGTGTGACTTCCGCCTTCGATTCTAGAGCATAGGCCACTGTGAAATGAGTAAAGTCGTCAATAAAAGTGATGATATATTTCTTACCGTCAAATGAAACTGGTGAGATTGGACCACACAAATCACTGTGAATCAACTCAAGAGGTCTGATGGCACGTCTCCTGTTCTGATTGTAAGGAAATTGTGATTGTTTCCCTTCAACACACTTTGAACACTTTTCTAAGGGTAATGTTGAAGTATTCAACTCCATCCCATCTACCTGCGACCTGAGACTTTTAATACAACCATAGCTCAAATGACCAAGCCTGTCATGCCACAGTTTCATTTCTGTTTCAGTTGAAGAAGCTGACAAAGCTTTTTGTTGCAAAAAATTTAACATATATAACTGAGAATTGTTTCTTTTTGCAACCGCAACAGTTTGATTATCTTTCTTAATCAAGCCACATGAATTTTGAAAGATAACACAAAAACCATTCATTTCCAATTTTCTTACTGAAAGTAAATTGTAACTAATTCCAGGTACAGATAAAACATCTTTGATTGTTATTTTAATTTCCTTCCCTTCAACAACACTAGTGACATACAAATCCCCTTTACATTTTGCTTCAAGATAAGTTCCAGACTTGGCTACTTTGATTTTAATAGGCTGTTCTAATTTCTTAAAGTTAGAGAGACATACCTCATTACTGTTAACCAGATGTTCTGTTGCTCCAGAGTCTAATATCCAATTTATGGTATCTGCTGAACAGTCTTCACTTGATGCTCCAAAACAAAATGCGGCATCTTCCTGTTTGGTGTCGACCACGTTCGCAGAATTATTTTTCTTTGATGGGTTCTGTGGTAATTTGACTCTGCAGTTAGCTCGTTTGTGTCCAAGCTTTCCGCATCTGTGACAAGTGAAATTGAACGAGTTGCCAGAAGTTCCTTGATTTCCTGGAAAATTTTTCTTTTTCCCTGGTTGAGACTGGAAGGCAGTAGGAGGTGATGTACAATCAAATTCAATTTTTCCAACGCCCCTCCTCTTTGTCTCCTCTTCCAGCAGTCTGACCTTCACAAAGCTTAGAGATAAGTCCTTCATTGATAGAGTCTCTATGGCCGTGACAACGACGTCATATTCTTTGGGCATGGTCAGTAGTAGATGACAAACAATGTCAGATTCCTCGACAGTTGCTCCTGTAGAACGTAACTCTCTTATGACTTTGTCAAATTTCAGAAAGTGACGATTTAAAACATCATTCATCGCATCAAACTTCATTGTTAGTAACTGCTTCCTTAGTAGAAGTTGGCTAGCTATTCCTTTCCTTTCAAATGTGTTGCAGAGAGATTGCCATAGTTCAAAAGCAGTTGCCTTGTCTTTTGCATATTCCAAATGGCTGTCGGCAATACGCTGTATAATCTGCGACTTGCACTTTCGATCTTGTTTCGCTAATTCCAACAACCTTGCTTCCTTCCTCTCTCGTTGTTCATCTGTGTCTTTATCCAGAAATTCAACTTTGGTAACATAAGATTCCTTTACAAAAGATAATAATTCTAATTCCTCCAGCAGAGTTTCAATTCTAAATTTCCAATTGCTGAAATTGGTTCCATCCAACAATGGTATTCGATACTTTTCATGTTCAGTTGCCATATTAATTCAATTTCATTAGCCAGGTAAAAAAAATATTAACAAATTCCGTATTTAAACAGCCCTGGGCCCATAACCTGTAAATATGTGGTTTCCCTGGACACTAAATTAAAATACCTAGCTCAATAAAATAAAAGGGCAAACTGAATTATTAAACTCAACACTTTTAATTGAACCAACTAAAGAAGACATAGATTAAAACTATTATTGTTTTTAACAACACATTTAACAATTTAACCATCTGGTATTCATCATTGAAGTATAACATTAAAAACAGACATGTGGCAAATATTAAATTGCACTCAACACATTCCCTATCGAAATGAAGTACCGATATTTATTTGGTGGTTAGTACTAACCACAAAATAAATATCGGTGGTGGTCCCACGACAATTTCTCGAAAAATATGCATAATAAATGCATGTGGTAAATATTTTTTTCAACATTTTTCCAATGTTGGGAAAAGTCGTCATTTTTAATAGTGATTTTAGAGATTTTACCCTGGACCAATTTTTGGCAACTTTTAGATTGTCACTCTGCACACCCAACACTACAAAATAAAACCATAAAACGTTTTCTTGCAATTTTTTTAAGGTCATGTCCTATATTTCTCTGACTACGTTTGTTTAGCAAACTTTTGGCTGTAACGGGATGCAGGTAGTTGACATTCCATGTAGGGTATGTGTTAGTTTTAGATGAATCAACCAACATCATTTGGGCCACAGCCAGATTGTGTTGTTATTTCAGGTTTCATATCACAGAGCTAGATATACAGTATACAGTATAAATAAATCATATCAATATACAGTATAATATTGCTGCGAAAGTCAGAATTAGTATGCCTAAATCCAGCATTGGTTTTGAAGTCCACTGAGATATTCCCTCTGTGAATTCACCTTTAACCTTTCACTGGTCATGTACAGAATGTCCCCTGCAATCCTGCATCTAGTTGACTCCCTGAACCTTTCAGATGACATTTGGTATGATTTACTGCTTGCACGAACATCTAATAATATATTGAGGTATTTAATATTTCAAACTTATACTAACAAGGTAATTAATTAATGTTTTAGTACGTGCTAATAAAGCTTTAAAATTAATTTACTTGAAACTTAAATGATGAACTAATTCATCCCGATGATGTGTTTTGACTTTGAATCGCCGAAAAACATGAAATCTGAAAATCATATTTGTTTCATTTTGCTTTACAAAGACTAGACAGATATTAAAATTAAGATAATTTAGATTAGGTATCTTTTACACTACATGTAAATTATTTAACCATGAAATAATTCATCCCTACGTGAAAAACCTGCTTGGGATGTTCTATTTTGTATGTAATTGTTTGCATCATTCTAATATAACCAACATCTTATATACCGACAATATCCTTAGTACTTATGTATCCTTCACTTTTTCATTGTAATTTTAGCTTTTGGTGCCACCCAGTGAAAGTCTAGAAAAAACACACAACAGTTTCGTTCACTTCACACCGTGGGAGATGGTCTTGTTTCCAAATATGAGGATGTGAGAAATATTATAGCTTAGTGTTTGTAACTGACTGTTTCCTTTGTTTTGTCAAGTCTGACTGTCGCAGTTGATGGATCACTTTGTGTTAAAAACTAATGAGCTCCCTCAGTCTGGAACAAACCTTGGTGTTTCAATTGCTCGTTTCATTTGGTGTTTATTAGTATTTTTGGGCTCCTGGTCAGGATGAGTGGAAAGGTAGGAATTGAACAATGACAAATGACATTAGGTTCAGGACTGCTCCTGCTTGGACAGGATTCAAACCAGCAACTTTCGAATTTGAAGACAAGTTCTATAAACCCTCTGCCACCCAAACCAATAAATTTATTGGTCTTTCAGAACAGCTCTTGATGAGGACCAAATCTGGTCTAATGCTCAATCTATCTCTACTACATTGTATGCTATTATTCTGAGATGGCACACCACCTTGGTTTTAACTCAAGTAAGAATGAAAGATGAATGAGAGAGAGAGATTATATTGTTTATTCAATAATAGCATTGATTGTAGGCTATTTATGTTGTCAGATCTAAAGGAGTGACTGGGGATCTCCTGGTAAATGGGATGCCAAAGGAAGAAAGCAGATTCCGAAAGAGCTCATGCTATATCACACAAGAGGATCTGTTGCAGCCCATGTTGACACTCAATGAGCTCATGATGTTCGCTGCTGACCTCAAACTTTCCAACTCCAAGAGGAAAGAAAAGAAACTTGTGGTAAGTGTGGGTACAAGTATTTTAGTTTACCAGTGCTACAGGGTGGGGCGGCATAACTACCTTAAAAAAAACGCATTCTATGGGTCAGACAAATTTTATTTTGTTTTTACAATGTAAGTACACACATAAAGTTTTTTTTTATGTAGTTTTCAAGAGTAAATCATGTAGGTGACATCCCCCATTATGGATACATTGAGTATACCGATTTCTGGTGTTAGTCATTACCCTTTTATGCATAGCAGGTGTTACGTTGGCAATTTCTTCCTGGATGTTGTTCTTTAAATCTTGAAGGGTCCTTGGACGGTTCACATAAACACGGGACTTCAAAAACCCCATAGAAAAAAATTGTAATGGACAAATCGGGAGATTGAGCCAGCCATTGCAAATTGCTGATTGAAATAAGGCGTTCTGGGAAGTGTTACCTCAAAACAGCCATCGATGCTCTTGTGGTATGTGCCATTGCACCATCTTGTTTAAACCAAATGTCCCCCAAATCCGACTGATCTAGCCAAGGGAAAAATATCCTGTAAGATGTTTTACACAGTGCCGGATTTAGGGTACTTGCGGCCCTAGGCCAAATTACTTGAGCGGCCCTCCCCCTGTGGTGGAAATTCCTTGCGATCGCGGACGTAATCGTGAATATCTCCTATATGCATCAAGAGGACATCATCATCGACACCCGTGATAGTGAAGTGGATGAAATCGTGGACATCACTCCTAAACCAAGTCAAAGCCATCATAGGTTTTCGTGACCGTGACAAAATCGTAAACATCACCCGCAGGCTACAACAAAGGGACATCACCCTTGAAACTCGCGACCGCGGCGAAATCGGGATCATATCCCGTGAGCTGCTACATTTAGGACATCATCACCGTCAACCGCGACCGCAGTAAAATCGCGAACATCTCCCACGGGCCGCAATCACGGGGACGACATCATCGACACTCGCGACCATTGCAAAATCGTAAACATCTCTCGGGAAGCAGCAATTCCAAGGACATCATCATCGACAATTGCGATCGCGGCAAAGTCGTGTTAAAACATCTCCCGTGGACTGCGATCATGATGACTTCATCATTGTCACCCGCTGCCGTGCCGAAATCGTAAACATCCCCCACGGGAAGCAATCACGGGGACATCCTCATTGACACCCCCAGCCGCGGCTAATTCTTGAACGTCTCCTGTGGGCTGCAATCATGAGGACACGTGACTGTCACCCGCGGCCGCGGCTAAATCGTGAACGTCTCCCGCGGGCCGCAATCACGGGGACATCATCATTGACAACTCGTGCCAGCGGCTAATTCTTGAACGTCTCCCGCGGGCTGCGATCATGAGGATATGTCACCGTCACCCACGGCCGCTGCAAAATCGTGAACGTCTCCCGCGGGCTGAGATCATGAGGACATGTCACCGTCACCCGCGGCCGCGGCTAAATCGTGAACTTCTCTCGCGGGCCGCAATCACGGGGACATCATCATTGACAACTCGTGCCAGCGGCTAATTCTTGAACGTCTCCCGCGGGCTGCGATCATGAGGACATGTCAATGGCACCCGCGGCCGCGGCAAAATCGTGAACGTCTCCCGCGGGCCGCAATCACGGGGACATCATCATTGACAACTCGTGCCAGCGCGCGGCTAATTCTTGAACGTCTCCCGCGGGCTGCGATCATGAGGACATGTCAACGGCACCCGCGGCCGCGGCAAAATCGTGAACGTCTCCCGCGGGCCGCAATCACGGGGACATCATCATTGACAACTCGTGCCAGCGCGCGGCTAATTCTTGAACGTCTCCCGCGCGCTGAGATCATGAGGACATGTCACCGGCACCCGCGGCCGCGGCAAAATCGTGAACGTCTCCCGCGGGCTGAGATCATGAGGACATGTCAACGGCACCCGCGGCTAAATTGTGAACGTCTCCCGCGGGCTGTGGTCATGAGGACATATCAACGGCACCCGCGGCCGCGGCTAAATCGTGAACGTCTCCCGCGGGCCGCAATCACGGGGACATCATCATTGACAACTCGTGCCAGCGCGCGGCTAATTCTTGAACGTCTCCCGCGGGCTGCGATCATGAGGACATGTCACCGACACCCGCGGCCGCGGCAAAATCGTAAACATCTCCCACGGTATGCGGAGACATCATTATGGTCACCTGTGATCGCGGCAAACTGGTGGTTTCAAATAACTATTTTAAAAAAAACGTTCCTCTGCGGCCCCCTTTTGCTTGCGGCCCTAGGCCACGGCCTAATCGGCCTAGTGGTAAATCCGGCACTGGTTTTACATACCGGGCCGAATTCACTGTCACTGCAACTTCATTTTCCACAAAGAACATGGGCCCGATAATTAAAGTTGAGGAAATTGCACACCACACTGTCACACTTTAGGTTAATGCAAAGGCCTTTTATGCAATTCTCAGAATCGGTGTCAGCCCAGAGAAGCACATTTTTTGTTCATTCCGATTCCGAAAGGCGCGCTGGGTTGCAATCACTGAATATCCACTCGAAAAGTAGGCCTCAACGGCAAAAGCAAGCTCTTTGCTGTTCCAACGCATAATGACGACTGAACTGTGCAAGGACAAAACGTTTTAGCCTCCCCTTTCGAACGAGACTGCTAGCGCTCAACTGACATCAATAAACAAAATGGCAGACATTTAAACAAATTTATGTTCCAGGTGAGTGACATACAAGCCTCCCTGGGTCTCACAGAGTGCAAGTATGTCAGGACAGAGTTCCTATCTGGTGGTCAGAAGAAGAGACTCTCCATTGTATATAATATCAAGTTATGTTCCAGGTGAGTGACATACAAGCCTCCCTGGGTCTCACAGAGTGCAAGTATGTCAGGACAGAGTTCCTATCTGGTGGTCAGAAGAAGAGACTCTCCATTGTATATAATATCAAGTTATGTTCCAGGTGAGTGACATACAAGCCTCCCTGGGTCTCACAGAGTGCAAGTATGTCAGGACAGAGTTCCTATCTGGTGGTCAGAAGAAGAGACTCTCCATTGTATATAATATAAAGGTATGTTCCAGGTGAGTGACATACAAGCCTCCCTGGGTCTCACAGAGTGCAAGTATGTCAGGACAGAGTTCCTATCTGGTGGTCAGAAGAAGAGACTCTCCATTGTATATAATATCAAGTTATGTTCCAGGTGAGTGACATACAAGCCTCCCTGGGTCTCACAGAGTGCAAGTATGTCAGGACAGAGTTCCTATCTGGTGGTCAGAAGAAGAGACTCTCCATTGTATATAATATCAAGTTATGTTCCAGGTGAGTGACATACAAGCCTCCCTGGGTCTCACAGAGTGCAAGTATGTCAGGACAGAGTTCCTATCTGGTGGTCAGAAGAAGAGACTCTCCATTGTATATAATATAAAGGTATGTTCCAGGTGAGTGACATACAAGCCTCCCTGGGTCTCACAGAGTGCAAGTATGTCAGGACAGAGTTCCTATCTGGTGGTCAGAAGAAGAGACTCTCCATTGTATATAATATCAAGTTATGTTCCAGGTGAGTGACATACAAGCCTCCCTGGGTCTCACAGAGTGCAAGTATGTCAGGACAGAGTTCCTATCTGGTGGTCAGAAGAAGTGACTCTCCATTGTATATAATATCAAGTTATGTTCCAGGTGAGTGACATACAAGCCTCCCTGGGTCTCACAGAGTGCAAGTATGTCAGGACAGAGTTCCTATCTGGTGGTCAGAAGAAGAGACTCTCCATTGTATATAATATCAAGTTATGTTCCAGGTGAGTGACATACAAGCCTCCCTGGGTCTCACAGAGTGCAAGTATGTCAGGACAGAGTTCCTATCTGGTGGTCAGAAGAAGAGACTCTCCATCGCCCTAGAGTTGATCAACAACCCTTCCATCTTGTTCCTAGACGAGCCTACCAGGTGGGTTTGAGTTTGTTTAAGAGCTAAGTTCAGGATAGGCATTTGTTCTTAACACCTAAAACCTAAAATATTGAAACATTTGTAAACCAAATTTTCAAAGGTATTTTCTAGATGAATATCTTAAGCTGAAGCGTAAAACACTACTTTCCTATATAGTTTCCTGGAGATTTTAGGATGTGTGTTTAACACAGAGCAGGATGCCAAAAACTCAATCCTGAGAACAAAGATGATGCCACAGACAAAGATGACTGCCTAGGACAATCTGGGACACCAAGATAGATCCAAGATAAGGTCTTTAAAACTAAAAATGTAAATGAAGGTCTAAACATTTTTCCTCCATCGCTTTTCTACATTTATATTGGCTACATAGCCACACCTCTACACAGAGGAGAAAGGTGAGATGTTTAAGGTACACTTAAACATTCACTTAAGTGTTGTTTAGTACTAGTCGCTGGTGTCTTGGGCCAAGTCCAGCACCACCCCCCTGTCCTCATGTACTAAACGCTCACAGTGGAGGTAGAAGGTGCTCTCTGTTTGATGGACCACCTTGGCTCTCCCTAACTCACAAGTATATATTTCCTCAAAGCACACAGTCGTTCCATAAGCAAGTTTCCTCTGTACTTGTCTGTCCTGGTTCTCTGGGATCACTATCAATACATTGAGATAGGAACACACAATGCTGTGGATTTTTACCTGATTATTAGTGAAGGATAAATACATCCTCACTCCTGAATTTAGATGATCTTTGTAGCTTTGTCACTGACTAAGATCAGCTGTTTCACTAGCCAAGATCAATTTTAAAAGCCCAATCACCAAGGACACTTCAGCCCAGTTTTAAACCATTAACAAGACACTCTCATGATGAAACCAAAAACATTCCGTTCCTTAGGGACTTTCTAATTGTTCTCAACCTAGTCTGTCTAATGTTTGTCAGTGGGCTGGACAATGTAACCACGAGTCACACGCTGCGACTGCTGCGTACACTGGCACACCAAGGGCGGACTATCGTCTGCACCATCCACCAGCCGAGTGCATCCCTGTTCCAGCTGTTTGACCATGTTTACGTCCTAGCCGCAGGGATGTGTGTGTACCAAGGGCCTACCAGGGAGCTCGTACCTTTCCTCTCTAATGCAGGCTTCAAGTGCCCCACCTACTACAACCCTGCCGACTATAGTGAGTAAACTTCTTATGTGATTTTGAATTCCCTTTTTCTTAATGTAACCAATTAACTTTGTGATACTGAAGAACCAATGGCGGTCCCAGGGCTGAATTGGGGATGAAACCGGGGGGGATAGTATAGGCATACTTTTTTTTATAGCAAACACCGACAACATGCATTCTCCCACAATCATAAACAGCAGTGTTCTGGCAATCTCGGCGATACCATGATCATCTCCCACGATCAAGCCAACACTTGTAAATGTATATTGGGGCCTGAGCCTTACTGTAATCGGCTCCTATGATCGCTGCAACACTTGTGAGCATATGATGCGGTCTCAGCTATACCGTGATGCCTTCCCTGACCGTGGTAACACATGTATCTGGTAATCGTGATTTCCTTGTGGCTTTAAAAATCCTTTGTGGGCTTATTGGTGGAGAGAGGGGGTACACTTGCTTCCCAGTCCCACAGAAATATCACTGGCCAGCCAATCCATCCAAAAACAAAAACTTTTAATGTGGCTGTGGCCCTCAAGGTAGGAGTCCCCTGGGCCAGACTGTTAGTCCTCAGAAGTTTGAAGGCAGATCACACTATTTAGAACAAAAACACTATAAACGTCTAACATTACTGTAACACAAATTATGTTTTAGCGAATTTTCCTATAGAGAAGTAGCTATTACCGTAGGTGGCACGGTAAGACCTAGACCCGGGACCGATTTGCTTTTTCATTTTGATGTCCCAAGAGGCCAAAAACACCATTCGTTCAAATTTTTATATATGTATATATATATATATATATAGATTTATATATATATATATACGTCCGTGAACGCGATAACTTGAGTAATAAACATGAATGAGTTCGCGAAGCAGCATGATCGGACCATGGGAACGGGGTTTTACAGGGGGTTTAATGGGGTAAAAATTGGTTTTTCTCACTTTTGACCCTCAAAACAGAAAATTTCCCAATTTCTCGTTAGACCTTTTAAAAGAGCTTAAAAAACAAATAATTTTGTACCTATCTAAAAGTATTTTTGTTCGGTTATTAGTAACGGAGAAAATTTAAAAAATTGTAAATTTAAAATTCCCATGTTATTCTTATGGAATATTGTCAAATGTTGTAGTTTGCTTGTTTATGGATTATTTTGGTCAAACTTGGCAAATTTATTTATTTTGTACTAAGCTATCAATATTTTACTCAAAAACACACTTTATTAGTTTCCTTGTAGCAGCAAACCTAGGTACTCGTTAAACTTAATGTTATTAAAATATATTTAACTGAAAATCAATTCAGACAAATGGAAATTCGCTTAGTTGGCAGGTTTGCTGCGGCGGGGGTATTTTAAATACCTTACCCAACTCCTTAACTATTTACAAATTTCCTGGTGAAAACAATCTATAGTTTAAAAGTACTTTATTGGCCACAAATCATTTAACAAGTCGCACACAATAGCATGAATCAGATAAAACTTTTCCAAAAAACTCCTCAACGCCCATTGCACCATAAATAAGCTTTTAGTGTTACCATTGTTAAACACCAAAGTTTCTAATACTTGACCAGCTACAACAACTGATAGGAAGCCAATTACCATGTAAAGTGCTTCAAAAAGGCATTTAAGGAAATAATTGTTATTGCAATAATATTTGAAAAGGTGTAACTGAAAAAGCCACAGGTACTGGTAAGTCTGCTTCAGAGGGTAGTTGCAAATCTCGCAGGTATGCCGCGAAACACTCCTCATCCATGAGTTGAGGCAATTTGAGTGAACATACTGGATTGATCCTCTACATTTGCAAGGGCTTATCATACCCTGGATGTCACTTCCTCTACAGATTCTACAGCGAATTTTCGTGCTACAGGATGATTCCATTGTTAGGAACAGAGTTGAACTGGAATACTATTTGAACAGTGATTTTAAGAATTGGATTTTTTCAAGTAGTAAGACTTATTTTTAGTGAAGAAACCTTGGAAACAAACTGAAAATTTATATGATGAACAACATTCAAAGAGTAAACATACAAAATATCTATAACAGTGTCTATCTATGTACAGTGTGTATCTATGTCTATAACAGTGTTGTTTTTAGAGTGTTAGTTAGTGTGAAAGGACCTATTGGTTTGGGAGCTTGATAAGAGACAATTATTGTATAAAAACTAATATTTTGCCTGGAAAACTAAGTACTTGTTAGATAAGGTGGAGGGGTCAAATCCATCCTGGGTATGCAATGCGGTAGATATCGACAAGCTGGCGCTATTTTTTTATTAAAAAAGAAGGTAGTTGTGTGGGCCAGTCACAGAATGTGCTAGTGTCTAAAATTGTATTGTATACCTTACCTTTTATTTCTGACCAAGTTGATGATGGGTCATAACATTTGCTATAGCTCACCATAAGTCATTTCATTAGTTTCATTAGTTGTTAAAAAAGTTTGTGTACTTGACAGAATTAAGTAATTTAAATCAGCGCAATCTGCCGGTGTCTCACATCAACAACGACGATTTTGATTAAAAATCTGGCGACAAATTTACCATGGGGATGGAATGTCTAATTGTATTAATATTCAAAGGTTCTATTTTGTTGCAGTAATTGAAGTAACAGATGGTGAGGAGGAAGAGAATATCACAAAGCTTGCTAAAGCTACAGACAATGGAAAAACCACAGAATATGTTGAAACTTCAGAATACAAGGAGAATGGCCACACAAAACTAAGAGGTTAGTTAAAAAAAAATCAATATGTTGGAACTCATTGATTATGTGTTTAATAATTTAAATGTAAGCTAGACTGCAAAAGAAACCTATGTCATTTCCAGAATTTATTTTACTGTTCTGCAAAACAATATGTAGGTATATTAAAATAATATTTAACAATTTGACAATCCTAGTCACAAAAATTGTTAGTTTTTAGTCTGATAGAAAATGTCTCAGATAACTTTATATCAAAATCATAGCGTTCATTTTATAACTTCCGAATATCCAAGTAAGGATCGAGATCTTGAATATTATGAAACAATGAGCCTAGGATATTATATTCTACTCCTTCCCTTAGTTTTGGACATTATGAAACAGTCCCAAATAATAGTGTGCTTTTGGTCTTGACAAAATTGCCAAAGAGATGATTATGTGTTTGCGTAGGCAGGCCGAGTGAAACTGATGAAAACAAACGCCATCTGGCGGCCATGCTGCTTAATCATTACAATGACAAAGACCAATACCGAGAGCCAGGGATATGCCAATACATGTGGAGGTGCTGGGTCCAGTTCTGTACATTGTTTAGAAGAAAGTTCCTGCAGATACGAAGAAACAGTGTATGTTTTAGAGTAATTCTTTACTTTTCATTCGTGTCATTCAAAATTTCTCTGGTCTTTGATTTCAGTTTATTGTTGGTGATGATTAGATTTTATTTTACTCTCTATGGAATCTATTTATTGTCGCATGATCATAAATATTTGAGGTCATTGTAAGATTTCAACGATTTTCTTTGGTATAAAAAAGACATTCCAGGGCATGCTACTGTTAAAATTATTAACTTTTTAAAAGATGTCTACAATGCACAAGATACATCTCTAGAACGCATTATCAATTTATATGTTGTAGCCTATAAGAGTTCCAGAGCTCAGTAATTTGAGTAGGCCTATAATTAATTGTCAAGAAAATTTCCTAACCCTTTTATCAAGTGTAGCATTTTTACACTATAATTCATTAAAACAACAATTGTACAGTATGGACTAGAGAGCAAACTGTAAGTAAATTTGACATTAAAAGTTTAGTGTTCCGATGCAAAAAAATAAGATCAACACATTTTCAAATCAAGTCATTGTCATTGCAATTTGCAAGTTAAATAGATTTTGTTAAATAAGGTTAAAGCATTGAGTATAAACCTAACCTAGAGAGCCCACCGCTATACTGTTAGTCGGTACCGCTTTTGACGACGTAGTTCGGGCCGCTGACGCTTGGGTCGTGGTAGTCAATGGTAATGCAGTACGCCGCTGAGCTCAGTCTGCGTTGAGACACGCTGCGTTAAGGTAGCCTGCACCGCGCTCGCGCGTCAGTCTCCCCCCCTACCCCTACTCATCGTCACTTCCCACAGCAACCGGCCTCTCCCTCACCGGTCGAGCTGTCTCTACAAAGCGAATGCAATGAACACGAACGGCAACAACTGCCTCTAACACATATAACATAATTTTATCCATACATTACGCAATTAAAAAGTTATTTGTCAATATTGTAATGCTACAATTAATTGTAGGCTATACAGGAATCCCAATTTTATTTATTTTTTCTGTATATGATTCACTTACTTGAAGGTCTATCATGATTTTAAACTCACATCGAATTACAAAGGTTTGTAAACAAATTTTGCCTTTCTTTTTACGTACAATTCTGATCAACTTTATAGCAAACCATGTTTATCCCGATAGTTTATTATATTGATATTACAACTAAGTTTGTTTTATTTCTGTTGTGGGTTTACATATTCTCTACATAATACAATAAACTTAAAACTAAGAACACGTACGATAATGCATATGCACTGCTTATTTAACAAAATTCTATAACATAAATCCTAAATTTCTTTATTACTTTAAGTTTTAACTGAAAATATTTACCAGAATTTTAATATGGTAAGTGTTATAACATTATTTCAGTGTTTATTTTTACGCCTTATTATTTGTCTGGTACCATCGGTTAAGTCGTACACCCCTGATTCCCAAACCACTGTAGGCTACATATTCTTCCTCGGTGACATAACACGCACTACTTTCACTTTATTCTACGAGAGAAGAACGTTTCAAAAATATGCATAGTTATGATTCGGCTTTACACTAGGCCTACAAGAGTACAAGTAAAAGAGTATGTACAGGCAGTTTAATTTTTTTTTGTCTTTATACCATTAACTTCATATAAACTGGTTGTAACTACAAGAGTACAAGTACAAGGGTATCGACAGACACTTTAATTTTTAAAAATCTTTATACCATTACTTCATATGAACTGGTTGACAGTACGAGTGTACAACTACAAAGGTATTTACAGAGCCTTATCTTTAAAAATCTTTGTAAAATTGGCTTGATATAATAAACTTGCTAATCAAGTATACCAACAAATAAATACATTATAAATCAAACAAAATCGAGGCTCAATACAAAGTTATGAATTGAAAAATACATATTGCTATAAGAATTTTACTATAAATACTTTAAAGGCATAATAGAATAATGACGAAAAGAAAAATACGAACAAATCTTGTAAAAACAATTTTCCTATTACATCAAATAATGACTTACTATTAATAATTTGGTATTAAAATGCGTTATAAAACAAGGAAGAAGGAAAATACGGCTAAACAAACAAATTCATCAACAAATACGACGTTTTTAACCTAGCAAAAAGCAATGAAAAAATCAAATATCTAACTCAAAGTATTACATGAACAAAATACTACACCCTACTAGTAGGCCTAGAATAATCGCTTTAAAAAAACAACGGAACAGCAGACTAAACATATGGGAATGGTAATGCACAAAAACGAACAGCTGAATAATCATATGGAAATAGTAATGTAAAAAAAGACAATATAAATCAAACCGGTAAGTCTACGTAAGTTATGCCATTGAAAAAAAAATACACTCCTGAATAATCTGAATACGTATTTAAAGAACAACGGGTAACCAAAGAAATACGTATTGTACAAAAAATACAGTACTTTATAAAAGCTGACAGCCTTTTTACGTTGACTTAAATTGTAAGCTTACCTTTTCCCATCCATGGGCAGTTTGATTGTTATAAATTTACCCTTCAAACTGGAATAGGACTGTTGTGTAAATTGTGAGTATTTCCATTAGTTAATAATCTTTTAATTGACTCTTTTAAAATACTCGGAAATTATAACTGTTATTAGTTTTTAAACAAGTTATTTGTTTATAAATAACTCCTGTACTTCTTTGCAATTGCTCGATTTCGAGCAACAGGTATACTAGTGTAATTATAACTCTACTTTAGTGGCCTACTGTAGTGGATACATTATACAGGTACCTATGTATAAACCCACTTCGGCATTTCAGCAAAGTATGTTATAGTATTACAGTAAAAAACTCAATAACAAGACTCTCATACGGATTGTTAAATAAATCTTACTATCGAGGTTTGCAGTAACATGTGATTAGGGGTCAAATAAATATTAGAAGCTTTGAAAATGACACTTGTCAATGGCGACTTGTTTCGGAGGTCTTGTTGAGGTTTCACTGTATAAGTTTCTAATCATACGTTACGATTCATTTTCGCCGGGTAAGGAGCATAACAATGTTAACTATTTATCAGAGGCTTCCCCAACTAACTATAAAATTACATATTCATATATGCCTGCCTACCTGTTGTTGAAGTTTCTGGTGGAGGTGGAGACGACGTCGTCGATATGTCCATTGTGTCTTGGAGGGCTGCTGCTGGCGTCGGTGTGGACGACACGGGTGCTGAGACATCGCTGGTATTCCCATCGCCACTTAACGTCGGAATCGCGTGTTTTTCCAGGCGTGTTCTCACGTCACTAGTGAAACACGAACGTTCGAAGTGACGATCGCACACTGTTCGGCGTCTTAACAGAGATTCCGGTAACTCAGACAAACTCTCATTTCCGCAGTTTAAAATCCATTGACTGCACACTTCTGGATTACCTACTGGAAACTTAAAAAATACTCGGTCTGGGTTGCCTCTTTTAGTAGCATTGCATCTAGAAAAAAAACACTTATCACCCTGTTTTTTTTGCGACGTCATTGTAGAAAATCTTACAGACCGTTATAAAAATTTCATTTTCGATAACAAATAGTACTACTCAGGAAGTCACTAATAACGGGAACTAACTTAAAGAGCTAATAAATAAATAATAACGTTCACCTATATCACAGTTAACTACACTGATGAAAGACAACGACTGTTCTCAATGCCACTTCTCAAAATACTGACTAGTTGACTAGTTCCTAGTTCGGAGGGAGGGCTTAGGGTTATAAAAGGCGCACCCATAGGCAGAAAAACCATTTTATGACACAAAAACCATCCAAGAGGGTGTGTTAAGTTGTCAAGTAGTGCCACACTGCCTGCGACCTGTGACGTTTGGAGAAAGTGTAGTTTAAGTATTAAGTGTGTTTCAAAAAGTAGCACGGTAACAAAAAGTACATGTTGGAAAAATGTCATTGGTCCATACACATTTTAAATTAGTAGTTTAAAAATACATACATGTGTATGAACAGTAGGCCTATAGAAAAAATTTACGACATGGATTAAAATACACTGTTGGTTAGTTATTATTGAGGGGTATTTTTTTATTATGCCTACGTTTGTTGATTCTATTTAACATGACATTGACAATAAATATTTTCAGTAAATTAATACATTGTCGTCGATTATAGTAAAAGGGTAAAAGAGTAAAGTTAGGATATTGTAACTATCTGAATTTGTTTCTAAGCAGAATACAGATATTCGAATTTGAAATGACACATGAAAAGTGTGAAAGCTTTATTTGAACTTTGAAACATGGCGGAAACAAATAATTTCATAACATATATCAATAAAATAGAAATATTAACTATATATTATATTTTAATTGGTTTGATTCGCTAACTCAAAGGGAAATGTTCAAAATGTTCAAAAATGTTCATGTATTTTCAAAAAGGTTTATTATGGAATTTTACAGCAATAGCATGCTTACAGACTTTCTCAGAGGCGTAAATAAGTAATGTCCAATCTTACAACATAGGTACATTCATGTAAAGTGTAAAAATCTTACGCATTATAAAATAAATAACTCTATACGAGTAGTTCAGAATAAAATGTTTACCATCATGTTAGGTTTATACTCAATGCCATCATATATAGAAGTAATTTTTTAAACCATGTTGGTTTCGCAAGAGCACGCTTGAATTATTAGCAAAGCCGACAGCGAGCCCGAAGCAGCGGGATGAGCTGCGTCATTGTTGCGTCTTGCATGGTTACCGGTAGAGCGCACTAGCAACTTGATGTACTGCATTGCCGAAGGTCGCGTAGTTCGGGCCGCTGACGCTGCTCAGCCTGGCGCTGCACGGGTAATGCTATGCCCCATTGAGTGGAGACTCTAGGGTTAGGTTTATACTCAATGGTTAAAGTTGATAAATGTACTAACAACTCTTCCTCTTTCCACACTCCCATCTCTTAAACAACTACAATTGTTCAACGGTAGTTTATGTGAGCCACCGACAGATTGTGCTGATCTAAATAACCAATTTCTGTTTAGTACACTAAACTTTTTTACTAAGTCAAACTAATGGAATAACTTATTATGAGCAATAGCAACTGGCATTACTCATCAACTTCAGCGTCAAATAATTAGATAGAAAATAAATTTTTTGACAATAGCGCATTCTGTGACTGGCTCACACAAAAGTTTTTTTTAAACAAAAAATTTGCGACAGCTGGTCCATATAGATTGGATGTCTACTTCAGTATCCATAAGTCAATTCTAATATCCAAATTCCTTGAAATTATTAATTTATTTTTGTTTAGATTTGCTGTCGCCCTGTTTTGCTTTATTCATTCCAATTTTAAATTCTTTTAACAGATGGGACTGAAAATTCAGCTGTTTCACCACATTCTCTGCTCTCTCCTTGTGGGAATCATCTTTTGGAAGCGGGCAAATGATGGAGACATGTTCTTTGACCACATGAAGTTCTGCATGGGCATCATTCTATTTCACACATATACCCACGTCATGGTACCTGTTTTAACATGTAGGTTTTAAGTATCATGGCGATACAGAATGGTTTTGCCATTATTTCAATTTTGTGTCTTAGAATATTTAGAAAATACATTAAAACTTATATTTACCTTCAACTGTGGGATTAGAGCTATGAAATCTAACTGAATACAGTAGATGGATGGTAGAAATTTTTTTTTTTAAAGTATATGTTTTGGAAGTTTACAATGGCTAAGGAAATTTAAATTTATAAGTGTAGAAGTAAATTACACCAGTGCGTTTTAGTTATCATAGCCTATACACACATAATTTTCTTTAGCAAATACAGTAAAATACACTTTTGAGATGACAAATAACTGAGATACTCAGGTTATGATGATTCAACTGTATTTTTTATCAAAAGCTGCATATAATTTTTTGCTGTTATCACTGACGATTTCTGCTAAACCTGTTATTATTTCAGTTCCATATGAAGTCAAGTTGCTGGCTAAAGAACACTTCAACCAGTGGTACGATCTCAAACCTTACTACTTAGCCCTGACCCTCAGCAGGGTACCTAGTCTGGTAAGTAGTTGGTTATTTTAACAAATATTTATTTTTTAAATGTATAAGATAGGTAAACTAGTATAGTAGTATGTACATGGTTTTTAAATTTTCACATGCAACTGCTATTCATCAACCTACATCTTGACTTACTGACGCTGGGATCTCGTAAGATTTTTTAAGGTCGTGGGTTTTAGCGAAACTTTATGGTATATGGGGAAGGCCTCACAAGAGAAAAAGGTTGTAAGTGTTAACCAGCCTAAGTACTTGAAAGTTTTTCTTATGAGGTAGTTGGGAGTAAGGTGGAATTACACTCAATGATTTTCACTCCAATGTTTACATTCATTGATCTCTATGAGATAACTTATTTGTATTTATCATGGGGCAGTTACCCACTGTCAAGAGCATTTCTATTTTCCAAATAGTGGTCATAATTATACCCATCGGCTTACTGGTAGGGCTGTTGACTGACCTTGGACTACTGAGAACGCATCTTAATCCATTGAGTTCAGCCAAACAGACCCACACAGATTCTGTACAAACAAGCAAGACCACACCAAACACTTGTGGAAGGATTTTCCAGTTTCAGCCCAGAGACAGTTGAAATTCCGAAGGAAGGTTGCATGAGATCACACAAAATAAGGAGAATGGGGGCCCCACAGTTCTTAGGTTAGGATTAGCCGAGAGTTTGAAGCTGATGAACTGAGCTGAGGAGTGCTACAAAAGATCAAAGGTCAAATGTGGTGTTGTCCTAAATTGTTCAATACGGGGATGCTTACCATTGTCGTGGAAATATATTTGCCAATTAATAATGAATACATTCTTTTAAAAAGCAGAGTGGGAATATTGTTACCCATCCTGCACCACTACACCACTGAGCAAGAGATAGTCTGATTCCAGCCTCCCTCCCAAAAAAAACCATCAGAAGCATGCAGACTATTTATTTACATAACAACTATATCTAACTGATATCTTTCATTATTCAATGTATATAATGTAAAATTCTCTTAAATCTCCCCTGCCCACAGGTGGTGTTCAGTATGATTTTCCTTGTGATTGTGTACACTATGACAGGCCTTCCATGTGAACTGGACAGGTTCATCGTGTTTGCAGCAGTCGGTATCATCACAAGTTTGATCGCTGAAGGCATGGGTTTGGCCATCGGCTCAGTTTTCAACGTCACAGTAAGTATATTTATTTAGGGTTAGACATTAATATAAACGTGTTAGTAAACTCCCTCTTCTGAACCCTTGTCCCAACCATCAGCAGTTATATTATATGGTATCAGAAATCTGACACATACTTTCTCCTATTAGTTGTCAAAAACCCTTATTATAAACAAGAGTTGAGAGTGACTGTGATATTTTATGGTATCAGGTTTTACTATTTTGTTTAGATTTTAGGCCGGCACACATAGAGACAGTTGGGCCAACAGTCTTGATCACTTGTTATCGTGGCAATGTAATAATTCCTGCCAATATCGCAATTTTTAACTATGCAAAACTAGAAAATTGTTTTCTGACTGCTATTCAAATTCATTTAAATTTGCCCGATTTTTACAAAATTCACGGATTTTTTCCGGTCGTTAAAATTTACGTACAATTCCTGGTTTTCAGGTCAGCTGGACACCTTGGTAAACAAACCACGGCGCTGTGCAGTGCCAGTGCGGAGTAGTAACTTTGAAAAAACATCTCGCATGCGCAGCAGAAAAAGTCCGCAGGATTTTTTTTAATCGCCTGAGAGGCTTTTGAAAAAGTTTGTCCGCAAACTCAAGCGGACTCAGGCAGACAGACAGATTTCTATGTGCGTTGTCACATGACAACATGGGGAGCGAATTTTTGTCCGTCCTTCTGTCTCTGTGTGCGCTGGCCTTAACAAGGACCATATTTCTATTACTGCGAATCTTGTATATTAAAAAACTTTTGCAAAACTTATGACAGCTAGCCTGACCATACTCCTGGACCTAATTACACGCGGGTTGAACCAAAAGAAAGGTTATTGTTCCTATATGTTCAGGTTTTATTTGTATTTTGAGAATATTTATGTTAATTGGGTCAAAAATGGAAATTCAACTTTTCTTCTTATGAATATTTAACATGGGACTAATCTAAATATGAAGCTCAAATACCACTGACTCATTCTATATATTAATAGACAGGCATGTTTTTTTAAACCTTTTTTCTCAGATCCTGTGCATCGCATGAATAATACCATACTGTTAAAAAGATATTTGCCTGTAGATGAGCAGAATACCTTTATAAATAAAAATAGGCTAAAAAATAAGCACATCTAATAAGTTTAAAATTAAAAAAAAAATGACATTGACCATATGGGTTGCCATGTTGGTGACGAAATAACGATAAAATAAAAACATAAAATGAAAACAAATGGAAGAAATTCCCAATACATACTTTTGGTCGAGTTTTTGACAACTGGGCGAGCTCTAGTATAGTATAAATGAATTTACCGTCCTGAAAACCAGAAATATTACATGAATTTTTATGGTTGGTAATGAGTTCTAGAATTTTACTTTGGATTCTGGAACAGTCCCTTTGGCTGAGTCTCCATTTGGTGACAAGTTAATGGTTCTCTTTTATTATCTATGAAATTGCTTTCTATGGAGACAATCACAAATATGGAAATCTGTATATATGCTCATTGCTCAATAGTGTGGCCGCGTTTGCAGGTGACGATCATCATGATGTTGACTAGACCGCAAGATATGCTTACTCGTTGCCGCGATCACAAGAGACAATCCTTGGTCTATACTATCAGATAGAAAGAATACTTTATCAGCGGCCTTTGCTAGCTTTTGGCAGCCCACTTAGTAACCAAACCTCACGAACTTAAATCTTCCTGCATAACCTTGTAATTTTAAATATGTTTGCAATGTAACAGTTTGTCAGTTTTTATCAAGTTATGGAAAATACTAAATATGAGAACTCATTTGGAACCCAACCATGCACGCTGTTAGCAAATAATTCTTGCATGCAACCGATTCTTTAATCTAAAGATGTTATTTTGCAGAATGGGTGTGCAGTGGGGCCAATGACGTTAGCTCCATTCCTCGGTTTTGCCATCTATGGGTTTGATTTTGCCCGGACCATTCCACTGTGGCTCTGGCCCATGTTAAAGGCAAGCTTCATGAGGTCGGGTGTGATCGCGATGATAATTGCGGTGTTCGGCATGAACCGACCAACACTGGAGTGTCACAACCCTATGTACTGTCACTTCAGTGATCCCAAGGTGAATTAGCAAACAGTTTTCTCATACCTTCTTAGTGTAGTCTCTCTTACTGCCACTTCAATTGTCGATGACAAGTTGTTAGGCACATCAGAAGAACTGACTCTTATGAGGTCAACAAAACATTTTATTAAGATATGTGAAGACTTTGGAACACATCTTTCTGCCTTTATATTTTATTTACTGTAATAAGAAAAGTAACCTAGTCACATTTGAACTAAAGCTTTAACCAATACTATAACCTTGTACAAAAAATAAACCTTTATATATATGTGCTTAGTTGCAGTAGCCTATGTCTGCTGCATAATTGAACAATAAATAACTTCTTGATCATCATCGATGTGATATTAAATTTCCCGAAAATACAAAAAAGTACGTCTAATAATACGTAATAATATATTTATTTACACTTATACTGTTGACTCACAAGATTTTAAATACACCATACCATCTTTTATATGTATTTACCTATTTTATTTATCTTATTACAAGTGTATTAGACATATTTTTTGTATTTTCTGGGAATTGAACAATTTCTTTGGTATAATCCAATTCTACTTGATGAGATTATTTTTTTATTTTTTTTCAGGTGGTGTTACATTATTTGAATCTAGAAACTACATCACCGTGGGTAGAGATTCTCACCATGATCGCTATTTTGCTAGTGTTTCGTTCACTATGCTACCTCGGCCTTCGCTGGAGAGTATCAACATGATATAGTTGGTACATCTCTTTAGAAATTATTTTCATCACCTGAAGCATTGCTCATCGCTGCATAATTGCTTAAAAAGCATTTGATCGCAAGTGATCATTTACTTTAGAGGGGCGAGAAGTGTACCTATGTATAGTACTCAATGCGATTTGTATATTTTTAATATTTTGTTTTTAACTTATTCACTGCACAGGGTACTTGTGAAAACTTAAGCAACATTCAGTTTGTATGTGGCTTGTTTAAGAGAAAAAAAACAATCACAGAATTGTAGATGGATTAAGAAATGTCCTGTTTGGATGTATACGTCTGTTGTAAGAGCTTGAGAGAGAAGAAGCAGAGATCTTGAGAGTCTTAAGACATCTTTTTTCAACTATTATGATTTTATTTTTTTTTTTTATTGAAATTTTTGATTTTTTATTAAATGCTAATGTAAAATATTATCTTTTACAAAGTATTGTGGTGCTTTTTTCTGCACAGGCTGTGAAGAATTTTTATAAAAAGTTTTAGTACTAATACAAAATTTTAAAGTTAAAAATTTATTTTTCATCAAATAAGATTTAATCAAAAATTATATTGATATATTATGTAGAATATAATCCTGTTGAACAGTATTTTACTGATAATATTATAATATGCTGTTAGTTGCTCTCTTTTAGTTATGCAGTATATATTTTGTACAAAACGTCACTATACTGCAGATAATAGTTGTAAAGTTTGTGTTATATTCTACTGTATTGTACTTGTCTCATTTTTATTGTATTTTTTAAATTTTATTTATAGGCATATGTGTTAAACCTTAAAATTGTTTTGTTTTTGCTGTTGAATATTTACAACCATAAAGTGGATTCAAATTGTATTCAGTAAGTGAAACATTTAGTGCTTTTGCTAATACGATTTTACCAAACATATATTAGATGTTTTGTAGACTTGGATTTTATTCAAAACATTTTACTACACAGTTGCCATAGTTGAAAAGTATACATTCAATAAAGTATTATGTGAGTAAATAGGTGGTGTTTTCGTTTTGGTCAAACTATTTTGCCAGTATCTAATAAAAAGAACCAAAAAATTTACCCTAGTTGTTTATGAGGAATTTAATAAAGTGTAACTAACAATTAACTCAACATTGCACGGTTTTTAAATCCATTTAAAAACTTGTAGTTGTACAATTTACTACTTCAAGTTGTTTTACAGTAGACTACCTCTTATCCGGACACCTTTTAACCTAACATCGATTTAACAGGACTACACTCGGCGGAAATGGCATCTCTTTAACCGGACAATTTTTATCAGCACATTGGTTTAACCGGACTAGATTGGCAGGAAGTGGGCAGTAATGAAACAACTGTTCTCGCGGGAAAGATTTGAGACCAGTGATAACGTGTCTAAATACAATGCTCTCCTAAATTTAAGTCGAATATCACAGTAAACAGTCCGTTTTAACGAGTTCTTACGGACGGACGTCGGTTTAACCGGAAAACTCGTTATCTGGACTGGCCTCGGTCCCAAGGTGTACGGATAAGAGGGAGTCTACTGTATTTCCTTTCTTATGTTATCAAATACTTTTTCCAAATTTCCATCTTTTAAATTTTTTTAACAGATTTTTAGTCTTGCCTTATATTGTTATTTTTTATATGTTTTTTTATTTTAATTAATTTTTGTTCTTTATATACATCTCTTAATTGTATTGTATATTTATCTTATATCAATTTGTAACTTTTTTAATTATCCGGGTGGCAATAACACAGTAGAAAACAAAAAGTTAAAATGTTGTTAATGGTTGAATCTGCACATATCTCATTTAGCAAACTATGGTACCTAAACTAATTTAAATCTTAACCAATTCCCATTAGAAATTCTTAGTTCTACAATATGTATTAAAATGTTTTTCTTAAACTACAAAAAATAATTAGTGTATTTAATCACATTGAATATAACAAGATTAATGAAGATGTATATTTTTATTGATCATTATGTACAAAGCTCTAAAATCATCACATATTGTCTTGAAATATATACTTGTATATTTGTACATATAAATTACAACAAATATAAACATAATAATTAAGGCTTTGTTTTCTATTGAATTTTGATCCCCTGCTATTCCTTACATCAGTCTTTACGTTTACAGATTTATAAAAATCAACATTTTCTTCAGTTTAAATACAATTCACATAACTCAGTTGATTGGCTAATAATTAATTTATACCTTGGCAAGATGCCTCACCACAATTTTTGAAGTACGGTAGGTACTTTATTATTTAACAAGGCAATTTCATATATAACTAACCCGTAATGTTTTGCAAAATCGACAGTAGCAAGACAATATTCTATTAAACATTAACGTTGTAAGGAAAGGTTTGAGAGGTTTGACATTTTGTGAAATTTTAGATGAAAAGCAAAAAAGTTATATATCATTCAAAAAATCAAAAAATTTAATGATAAATAATATTTTATTCAAAACAAATCAGTAGATAATAACAAAAGGAGGAAACCCAATGCTTGGCCACAAGACAGGTTGACACCTGATTAATGATGCAATCTAAGAGAAAAAAAAATCCTTAAATTTTACCAGCCTTAAAAAGTTACTTGGAATGTTATGCTCAAAATAAGCCTAGGCTATCAGTGTCTTTAACCACATATAAGGTATATTTATATTTAAGGTACCAAATATACAATACAATTTACAACTATACAATTTACACAGTAAAAACCCTTCTTGCATTTTAAAACGTGCGTAGTTTAGAAACCTTGATACTCATCTATTGCTTGGCAAACAGTGGCATGGCCTGTACTTTCCAGTTCTCGTGCCATCTCAATGACTGGAACTCAGTGATTGCCTTAGCAAACTTCTGATGGGAACTGTGAGAAGGAAAGCCTGTGAACCAGTCTTGCAGCTGTTTGGCCAGTTCACAACTGTCCTTGAACACCAGACCATTCTCTCCATGTCTCACCAACTCCTCCAAACTGCAAACATAACAATCAGAATTTTAGAATTAGATATGTGATTCTCGATACCACTGACATTAGGACATTGGTATCGGTATCAAGAATCGATCGCCCAAAGTCAATTACAATACCAATGCCCAACATATCTGGAAAGATCGCGCGATCAGAAAATAATTACCCCTATTGCCGAGATCACGCAAGACAACAATGACGTTTCCGTGACCACAGGAGACGATGATGGTGTATACTTGACCGCAGAAGATGATTAGAATTTTGCCACGATCCCGGAAGACGAGAATGTCTACATAACCGTAGGAGATATTCATTTGTGATTTTCACGCAATACGTTGATAGCTTTTCCGTGACCGCGGGAGACAACAATGATGTTTCCGTTACCGCAGAGCGATATTCAGGGTTTTGCCTCAGCCAAAAATGAGAGTAATGAACTAATGAAGTTTCTGGGACAGAGGAAGAGTGTTTAAACGCAAAATTAAGTTATTTATGCTTGTAACAAAGTACAATTTCAATACTGACCACTGGAAGTGTAGAGCGGCAACAGGTAGACCACAGCCCAGCATGTCCACGACCTTCATTGGCAGATCCAGGCCAGACGAGGAGGAGTGTAGTGAAACTCCCAGATCAGCTGAGGCTAGCAGTCGGGGGTAGTCGTCTGTCTCCAGCCACACAGACACAATATCAACCTGCCACATGTCCATTATAGCACAATAGAGATCAACAACTAGCAGTGCAACACTTAACAACTAGAATTGTGAAAAATAGCTCAGTTGCAGAAAGTTGTGCTCCATATAATACATTAGATACTTGCATATCCTGCATGTTCTGGACTTTGGCGCAGAACCAGATTACTGAGGGTGCCATATTAAAAATATAGGCTGCACCGGATAAAAATATTCGCTACAACAAGAAAAAATAGAATTTCTTTCCACGCTCAAAAATTTTTTTTTTTTTTATGTGAATACAAGATAAAAATGTAAATTATTAATTTTTGACTGTTGGTGGATTAGAGCCTATTGAATGTTACGGATTTAATAGCATATTATTGTACCCAAAGCCTTGCAAGTTGTAAAAGACTTTCATCACTGACTGTATCTTAACAAGTCTAGTCTAATAGGCCTAGTTTCACACCTCAAGACTAAAAAAGCACTGCATAATTTCCATTTTATAACACAGCTTTAAAACTGAAACAAATATTTCGGAAACAATGTTGCGTATAATATGGGCCAGGGACAAACTTTACCTTGGACCAATCCTGTGAAGTAACTCTCCTCATGTAAAGATCCTTGAGAGGGCCTTTACCAGTGATCACACAAAGCAGCTTAGGCAGTTTCAGGTCTGTACAGCGGTCATACTCTGCAAAATAACAGGAATACAATAAACAGAAGGTTCTAGAGCTAACCAGTTTGAATTAGGCTAAATTATCAGGCCAAGAAATATTTTAGCTATTTGTGTGTTAAGAGCCCAATGACTGTGCTCGTAATACAAACAAGATTTTTCCTAAATTTAGGTTATGTTAAATTTGATTACCTGTTTTAGTGTTTTATTAAGTTAACGTACTGGATACGCGTGGGGAGAGGCCAAAAGTACCTTTTAAGGTACCAGTGGCCACTCCATTAAGTAAGTAAGTAAGTAACGGATCCGCAGCTGTGATTGGTGTATAAACAACAACAGTGAAATCAGCTGATATAGCGAGTGGGAATTATCCATTCCAACTTTAGAGTGTAAATGAGCTATTTTGAGTCATGTTTACAGGTATAGCAATGTGATTTGATGATACCATGCAGTGGTAGGAAAAATATATTTTGGATCAGAATTTACAATAATAAATGGTTAAAACTATCTATATCCCTAGGCTTTTTTTAGAGAAAGGGAGATTTGATTTTTTTCTTATATATATGCACTACTAAGCCATCAGAACATCCAAGTCTGAATAATCAAGTGCACTATGTGTCTGCAACAACTAAGCTCAAACGATACAGAATTTAAATAATTAGCCCAATATCTCGTCCAGATGTCAAAGCGTGTACTATAATTTATAGTAACGGTACTGGACTCATAAGGATTGTAAAGGCTCAATTTAATCAGCTTATGCTACGTGCGACATTCTGAGTTGAATAATAATAAACTTAAATTAAATACTAAGCCAAACCACATCCATATCACAGCCATTTTCATGATCTAATAATTCTAATTCATCTAACTAAATATAATATGCCAAAGAACAAGTAAAACTTCCACTCGTACCTTAAGGGTACGGGTGTGCTCAAAACTAAAATTTACATATTAAGCTGAAATAGTTATTAGTTCCCTAAACCCCTTAATCCCCCCTTTCCTGAAAAAATTTGAACATATTTATTTAATTAATTAAACCTAAGATAACTTATCCTTCGTAGACCATGACCAGCGTTGACCAGGTCGCCTACACACCACAAACTCCAGGAGACAACTACTACTCTGTCTCCGCGCTTCCTACCCCCTCCCCAAGTTCTCCAGTTATCAGCTGATTTACCGTATGATGCGTCTCTGCTGTGATGGCGTCACAATGTGTTGGCAGAAGTCAGTGCAGGATACTAGGATGGGCTAGTCATATTATTAGAAGGGACAGTTCCAGAATGAGTTATCTAATAATTATTTTAAGGACTCTTATTTGAGGGGACAACGAGGTAGATAAAATTTCCGCTGGAAGAACCAGTTCAATAAAGATATGGTAAAGCTGAAGGTGATGACCCAGCTGTCCTATTGGGCTTGTAATAAATGGTCCTGATTAATGAAACAGCTGATCTTAGTCAGTAACAAAGCCACACAAGCACATCAGTGACGTTAAGAGGGTTAAGGTACCCATGTCTACAGAAGTAACTAGAGTGTGGGCTTATGTCTCATTTCAGCCTAACGTACTTAGGAAACATGATTCCACCCAAGCCTACCTTGCAAGGCAGACAGAAGAATAGAGAAATCTTCGTCTTCCGTCCAGCTAGTACTAGACACCAGCAGTGCCGGCCGTCCCTCGGTTCCCAGCCTGGCCGCAGACAGTTCTGAGTATTTGGAAAATAGAGCCTCTTTGTCATCTTCAGTGATCGAACCAAAGTGTTCGGGAGGTCTATCGTACAGTGTCACTGCACTGTCAACAACAACACATTTTAACAATAGGTAAAAGTAGTACGACGTTGGTACAAGAGTTAAATACAGATTCTGACAGCTTGAAATTGAGGTGGACTAGGTTCTACTACCGGAGGTACTGCTACTCAAAAGGTTGGTATTAAACTCACTATCAAAATAAAGTTGTTTTTTATCAATTTTTAAATTAAAATAGTATACCGGTAGCCTAAGTTTGTAGATAGCTATACGTTTTCTATAAGAACTTGGTTTGAACAACTATCACCTAAGTAATTTAACTTACCTGATGCTCCATCTTGCCATTAAATCGTTTTTCATAGCCTTAGTCACACAAAGGTTTCCATCTGATTTCCTTCCGAAATAACCTTCGAACTTCTCTGATATCTTGACCAGCTTGTGTCCCTTGCCATGTGTCAGTGCCATGATTGTGTATGCATAGTTGTGCCAATCAATGACATAGTTGGCTCGGACCAAGCGACAGTAAAGCCAACACACCGCTAGTGCCGGAATGGCCGGAGGAGTCTGGAGCAAGAGGTGATTGGAACGTCCACAAGAGAGCAAGACCGACATCAGAGTTAATACTTGCCATATTATCTTCAGAAAATAAGAAAGCAGCACAGGTAAATCTAGAAAAAATCAATCAATATGATATGGTGTGGCATAGGTATAAAGAAATTCTTTTAAAGTGGATGTTTGGATTCATCAAGAGTGACATTACATTGAGGATGTGCCTAGTGAAAATTAATGTGGAACTTGGCTTAGTTGGGTCAGCTGACTATAGCCAGGATACTTTGACTAATGATCAAGCACAGCAGTTGGTTTCAGTTTGATTCCTTCAAAGGTGTGTTACTAAACGTGTTTCATACAAAACTAGGCTACTAACTAAGCAAGACTACTACTACCCAGGTTTTAACATCTTGGTGTAAACATCAATGTTTTTATCATTTTGTTCCTATATCTTTATCTACTTCAGTGCCCAGATAGCCAACAAGAACAGACAATCAAAAATCTATATTTGCCCAACACCTTGTTGACAATAATCACAACTTTAAATAACTTGGTGTCATCACCGGTTTACAGGTTCTGCATTAATTTGAACAATTAAGGCTATCCTTAATGATAAGCTCCAGTTCAAGTCTAATATTATTTTCAACAACACCCTAAACTACAACGAGGGAATGTATTTTGATCAGCTGAACATCACTGATAACAAAGCCAGATAGCCAAGACTTGAACATTTCGACTTGTTCCTGCTCTCATAAGTTTACCAGAATGTGGGTTTTTTATGTTATAGGCCTATCTTATAATAAATATTTATTTCCATATCCTATGTGTTGTGTGTTCAATTTACATGCGTGTATAGACAATCAACATTTTAAGCTAACTAAGCATATTTAAGGTATTCCCTGGACTGATGTGTTTCACAATGGCATCTAGTCAAAACAAAAACACGATTTTTATTTTAGGCACACTGGCATAACATAGGTTGTAAAATAACCCATATAAAGGTCAAGTGGGATAAGTGTACGCCCCAAATCACAAACCCGCTGAATACTTTAGAAAACTGGAAACTTGTAACCCCTACTCAAATCGAATCCATTGCCAAGAACTTTTCAAACTCCAACAGCCCTGACATATACGGGATAAATGTGAATGTTTTGAAGAACACCATTCATTGTATGTCAAAACCTCTAGCTGCTGTAATAAATCTATGTCTTGGAGACGGATCTTTTCCGAACTCTCTAAAGATAAGCCGCACAGTCCCGGTATTTAAAAAGGGTGACCCAAAAGAACTATCAAACTATAGACCTATCTCTTTGATACCAATGCACGCAAAGATCATAGAGCGTATCATTGAGGAACAACTTGTTGACTTTTTTGAGCGCTCAAATCTTTTCACCGATGACCAGCATGGGTTCTGAAAGGGTAGGTCTACGACCACCGCTTTGTTAAATCTAATAACAAAGATAAATGATGCCTTCAACAACAAACTCATGGCAAACTTAACCCTATGCGACCTCAGCAAGGCGTTTGACTGTATAGCACATGACGTCTTGTTGAGTAAAATGGAAAGATATGGAATAAAAAACGTCGCGTTAGAGACCTTTCAAAACTACCTAAGGGGCAGAAAGCAAGTGGTATCCATAAGCTCTTTCCAGTGACCTGAATGTCAGCCTTGGGGTCCCACAGGGATCTATTCTTGGACCTGTGCTCTTCCTCATTTTTTAAAATGACCTGGGGACTGAGGGAAGAACTTTGTTCTTCGCCGATGACACTACCCTCATCACAAGTAGTGGTAACTTGGACCAACTGAAAAGTGGAACCCTTGAAATCCTTGATGAAGCTAAAGCTTGGTTCTCTAATAACAAGCTAAAAATAAACAATGACAAAACCCAGGAACTGATATGCAGTCTTAAACATCAGAATCCACAACAACAACCTGTGAAACTGCTTGGTTTTTGGCTGGATGGCAAGTTGACATGGGATAAACACATAGGTGAGTTAGATAGACTTTCCAGAACAGTTTTCCTTCTAAGGAAGCTAAAAAACTTGGTCACTGATACCTACTTAAAATTAGCCTATTATAGCCTCTTCCACAGCCTAATGAGCTACGGTGTCATTGTCTGGGGGCACGCTTCGGAGACAAGAACCATTCTGAAAACTCAAAAGGCTGCTATAAGAGCCATAACATCCAGCGCCAGGCATGAGCATTGCAAACAACTGTTCCGTGACTTAGGAGTGATGACTGTTTACAGTCAATTTATTTACAACTGTCTGGTGCATGTTAAGGAAAACATAGGCAACCTCAGCTGCAGAAACCAACTTCATAATTACAACACGAGAAGAGGAGAAATTTTAAACATTCCTTTCTGCAGGCTGAGCAATCAAAAAGACTGCTATCCTGTCCTTGGCATTAGGCTCTACAATCATCTGGACAAGAACATAAAGTCACTCCCTCTCAGGAATTTTAAAAAGAAAGTCGAAGAACTACTAAAGGCACGGCCTCTCTATTCCATTGGTGAATATTTTGTTGAGGAAAGTGATGAATGGATCTCATGACCTACTGCCATGTTAACCAATTCTAAAGTATTAACACTTTAAACTTTTTTTGACGAAATCTATCCAATCATTACTGGTCAGCGATGGATGTATGGTGTAAAGATAAGGCAGAGGATACGCGTCCGGTAACCGGACGTGGATTAGACGTCCGGCAATTACTGTCATAACCTAACCTAACCAACCAAACTTGCTGATAGTGAAAAAATCGAATTAAGGTGAAATTCTTTCTCTATAAAAAAAATTATAAATGCCAAAAATTCTAATAAAAGATGTACAGTTAAGAATAAATGGTATTCAATGCAAACTCTTCGACAAAAAGTTAAAGTCATCAATGGGATTCGAACCCTGGACCTCTTGCATATCAGCCGAGCACCTTATCCACCACACCACGAACACCGATGGCTCGTCATTGTATTGTTGTGGTAAAGGCGTTCCAGGCTCCCGCAACCCCATGACGTCATTGCCGTACGCCTTATCCACGTCCGGTTACCGGACGCGTATCCTCTATGTAAAGATAAAGGTATACAACTTTGACCACAGATTTAAAAAACACATGTGGGAGCTATAAAATTAAAATTGCTGAGCTTATTCCTTGGAATGTTTTGTATAGGCCTAAAATATGTAGTGGTTTTATTTTGTTAAATATATTAATTTTGTGTTTTGAGATTTTTTTGTAAAATTATGTTTGAGGTGTACACTTCCCCCTTGATCTGGGGTACCCGGTAGCCTAAATGTACACCCAACTCTTAATGTAGCTTTGCACTGCATATTTCTTGATGTTGGGGAAAGTGGATTGTATAGGAAATATTAAGCTTTCTTTTGATTTTTTATTAATCAAAATATCTCAAGCGGTTCAGGAGTTGTGAACTTATTTGTGAACAAAAGAGCGGAATTTAAGCTTTATTTAGGATTTTTAATAATTAAAATATCTCAAACTATAAGGTGGTAAGGAATTTTTTTGTAAGCCTCTGCTCGGTGATGGTGATGTAACTTAAATCCTTAATATTTTTAATTGTAATTGACTTCGGCCCTGAATGTTCCTAAAACCTTGAAAATGTGATAAGACAAGCTTTATTTTTTCAAGTGATTTCTTGCCATTTAAGCAAGAGATAACCACGTTTTCTTTATTCTTAGATAATTTATCAGTTATTGAGGGGAAAAAGTACTCTTGCCCCACACAGGTTTATCTCAGGGTAAGTGTACACCTAACTCCCCAAAATTGACTTTTAAGGGCTATAACAATGCTATGTTTAAATTCCCCTTAGAAAAAATAAAGGAGATGACCAAATTTTAGATAGTTAACTTAGCCTATCCTTGTATTTCAGTTTTAAGTAATTTTTTGAATTTTCCGAGCTGTACTTGTGTTTGAGTAGAAACGTTAGGGGTTTTTAAACACGTCTAAACCCAAAGAAATAGTAACAAGGGAATTTTGTAGTGATTATAATTTGAAAGAGGATAGTTTAAAATTTAACTTTGGCCAAGTTTAGATATTTTTTGGTTAATAAATAAATTTGTTATGAGCTTGAAGTCCAATTGTCCCACTTCACCTTAACTTAGTCAATATTGCAGTTTAGTGGCTTTCACAATGAAAACTTCAGCTAATTAGCCTAACGTATAAGCGTTCTGGCTAGATGGCCAGTTCCACAGTTCCAGGAATCGATCTAGCTGTAATTTATAATCAGGGCCATTATTATCATTCAGTAATGTGTCCACTGCAACAAATGAATTGATTACCTAGGCCTACTGTAGTTGATTGTAATTTAGCTTTGAAAAAAACCTCGGGGATCAACCAAAGCATTGGTCACCTGCGATCGTAGGAAACTGAATTAATAGAACGTAGCCTAAATAGAAAAATATTGATTGTTCAAAAACATAAGTTATAATTTTGGATAGGGATATATCCAATTTAGGTATAGTTTCTGGGTACACTTCCATAAGTTATCTGTTGGCACAAAAAACCGAATGAGTTTAATAATGATTACCGGTATTCCATTGTTTAATTCGATATAATGTTTGGTTGGTTAGGTTAGGTTAACCTTACCTAACTAACCAAACAATATATAGGCTATCGAATAATTGGTATAGGCCTATCGATCAATATTTTCATTCGGTTGTTTGTGCCAACAGATATGGAAGTGTACCCTAGTTTCTTAACTGGGCTACGCTAATATCAATTAATAATCAATATTTTTTACTAGGCCTATATCAATTATAAAATGAACTAATTAAACTTGCTAATAATGAAAAAGTGAAGGTTTACCAACCGAATCGATAGTTTCAATCGATATTAGCGTAGCCGAGTTAAGAAACTGTACCCCAATTTATTTATTGTAACCTAAGTAAAAAAAAATCATAAAGTGTTAAGTTATATTAGGCAGTATACTAAATGGTAGACTAACTTTTAACTTACTTTTTATTTGTTGTGGGACTTCTGGTAGATATTTTATTGAACAATTTTTATGTGACCTCAAGTATTCAAGAGGTCTGCTGCCCTTGTAACCAACTATATCTATTTGATATCCTTCTTTAAGGAAAGATGAAGCGTGATATTGCATACGAGGACTTCTGCCTATGTCGCCCAAAACAACAACAGTGACTTTACACAAGGACATCTTGGTTGAAAATGTGTAACAAGAATAATTAGGCCTACGTGATTTCAAAGTAAACGTTGATTGTCTATTGCCACATCATCCAAAGTCCTAAGATTCGCAGAATCATCAGATATTATATCAAAAGAACTGTTTGTGTTTGACTTTTGGACATGGAATTAGTAAACCATGCACATAAATTAGGTTATGTTGTGACTTGTAATAAATAAACAGCAACAGCTGGTAAACTTTTTTTAGCTTTGTAGGCCAACGGCAGGCTAGAGAGAGCTGATCCGGCAACTGTAATCATGCAAGCATAAAATTCTAAAGATTAGATTGTGGATGCTCACGTGCGCAGATGCACAGAAAACATACTACTATAACCAACATACTATAGTAGTATGTCTTCTGTGGCAGATGGCAGTTGGGGATACCCTACGACAGGAGGAACCTAAACAACTAAGAAAGGCTCCTTTTATTCACTGTGGCTGCGGGTTTTATCATGCCGCCAAACAATGCGGCAGTGAAATTCGTATGTGGTTTGAAACTTGCGGCACCGCAGGTTTTATACCACTGGTAGCACTGAGACAGGTTGCGGCACACGCCGCAGGGCATGAAAGCTCCCCTAGGACCCAATAAACTTACAGCCGCAAAAAAGCTGCGTTTCATAGGTCCACCACCACATCACTGGACTTGCTTGTGGGCCTCATCATTCTTACATTACACATTATATTTTTCCTACAATAAAGCATATAAATAATTAGTATTTCAAACACTGTACGTGTACAATACGTTTTTAGGTTAGGTTAAATTCAAACATGTAGGTTCCTTAAGCTAGATTTTCCTAGGCGCGGAAGCGGAGAGAGGAACGCGGAGAGCAGACTCCACTTGTCTTAGGTAATTTAATGTTACTGTTTTCCTAAAAGCGGAGCGGAACACCATGTTAATCTCTTCTCCGCTCTCCGTGTTCCTCTCTCCGCTTCCGCGCCTAGGAAAACCCAGCTTAAGCTGCCATTAGCTGTTTGGGCTATTAATTGCCAGCTGTGTCTAAGGAACATGTCAGCCTAGTCCATTTTCCTTCCACCATGGCATTAGTCACTAACAAGACTACAATATCGTGCCACTACACTACACTACACTCATATTTGGGTTGAAATACGCACCTAGTGGCGTCCCCATCTTAAATAATTGATAATTAATTGATTTATCGATAAAAGCACGCTGTTTTGTGTTGTTTATGTTGGAATACTAGTGCAAGCACTAGTCTTTGTGACTGCTAGTGTCATGAAATAAATTGTTCTCATTATTTTTCTGTTTGTTTATACATTTATTTGCCGATTTACTATACTCAGTTGACTCAGCACTGTCATTACACATTCACAGGGCAAGAGGAGACAGACAATATAATCAGAATCCCCGTGGTGGCTGGTAAAGTAACACTAGAAAATCTGTTAAGCCTTACGATAAACGACCACTCGGAGCCCTTGTTAGATTATGTGTGCAGTAATGCTGAATGCGGCCAACGAGGATCGAGCCTGGGCAAGGTACACGTTACTAAGTCAAACCGCTGTGTTGTCTTACAGTTTTTAATCTTCATAACAACAACTTACAAAAGATTACCAAAACAAACATAGCAGGAGTCCCAAGTGCTCAAGTGACTATAGGTACAAAAACATACAGACCTAAAGCAACAATATTTAATCACGGAGATTCAATATCACGAGGCCATTACACTTGCACCATGAAGACAGCTTCAGGTTGGACGACAACAGCCAATGATGAACAAATATCAAACCAAAAGATGGCCCATTGGTTCAAAGAATTTGTACATGCTGTTATTAATGTTAACAGAACAGTAGAAGCTGCAGTTATTAGGTACTTTGTTACAAATAAAATTTATTTCAATTTTTTCCAGAGAAAAGAGGATTTTTATTTTAACTGTTAATTTTCTACAAAAATAAATAAAATCTAACAAAAAACCACTAAGTGGTAATACTTTCCCTGCCAAGTCAGCAATCCATAAAAGATAATAAATCATTGCTTTTTTCCGCCAAAGTTGAGTATATAGGTTGATTAATTTTCATTTTTAGACAGTAAATTTATGGACGGGTGGCGTCGTCCTGTAATCCAGCTACTTGGAGGTCAAGAATTGTGGATATTTATAGGCATGCACTATGGATACGATACTCTCTGGTGTGGATTAACGTCCACACGAGTGAGTACCACGACTATCCGCAGTACTATCCTGATAATTAGACCAATTCGTATACACCAAAGGCAAAAATCAAAAATGTGGTTCGGATTCCACTATAAACTGTAGGTCCCTTAGTTGTCATTAGCTGTATGGGCTATTAATTAACAGCTGTGTCTAAGGAATGTCGGTCTTAGTCACTAACAAGGCTACAAGATCGCGCCACTCATCTCCATTCATACTTGGCTTAAAATACCTACTTTGTATGGTCGCCATTTCATAGAACAGTATTAACTATACACAAAAGGGTACACACATGGCAAATTACTACTGAGAGCACTGCTGGAAGGAGGGTAAGGTCGGGTGGAGGGGTTGGGGAGTGAGATGCAAAAAATAACTCTCCCTATGTAAAATTTAGATGTGATACCCATCTAGGGTTAAAGCTTTACAGTCTTATGAATGTGAAATAAATTCAATATAGATCTTAGTCTAATCCAAATTTTTTTAGGGGAATTAACTACACACAGAGTTTGTATAATACTTTATTTGCGTCAACATAAACTGTTAACAAAATACTTTTCCTTAAAGGCTGAGATGGACAGATGAGAAGGCACAAGAGCAAAATTTATCACAGCAACAATATGCAGGCTTTTAAGCTGAAATGCTTATGTATATATGAAACTATATTACATCGTTAACAATTAACATTTGATAAGAAATAGTAAAAAGTAAAATAATTAAGTAAATTCGAAGTCTTACTTTGATTAATGTGTTATTGGCACAAAACTATTTATCTAATAAGCTAAGCTTGCAATCTTTCAAGCAAATAAAACAATTTTAAAACTAAACGTTGTTACAGGTACGCGAGTGGTTCGATTTTATAGGCGAGCCGAACCTACTCTAAAAGTTTGAGTTATCATATCAATCAGCAAGTTAGAAAATCAAGCCTAGTTTATTTTACATTCAGTTCTTTTCTTTGTTTCATGATGCTTAAATAAATGCCTATAATTATATTTGACACAATAGTGTACTGTATCTAAAATAAATTTAAAATAAGAAGTGTGACAAACCAACTTATTACTTGGCATTGCAGCTTGTACACCAGTTGGTTCAAACACAATGTTTTCCAATAGCTCGGCTTGATAGAATTTCTCAAACTTGCACACCTCTTGTAGAATTTATTTTACAATTGCTTACTTACTTCATTAGTTAAGGTTAATTGCACTTTACATTTTATCTCTAGAATAAATTATATAAATAACAAAACAATTAAAATGTTAATATAAAAATAATACATATATACAAAACTGTAGCAAAACTACGCTTAAAAATGTAAATCTATTTTTCAAGAAAATGTCTTTGATGGTGTATTATAAATACAAATGTTTATCCTTGACAACAATTCAAGATCTTGAAAAATTTTCAGGTAAAGCTTATTCAATATTATTCAAAACTGTCAATGAAATAACAAAATGGTTGTATCCTGACTTGATTTTTAAGCAACCAAAGAATTGTGTGTATATCTGTAGTCTATGATGAAGAAACTGTGAATAATGATTGATAAAAATATTACCAAATTGGTGTTTTGTTCCAATCTTAAGCATTTAATAATCTTGATGCTAGAAGTTTTATTATAATCATCATGATTGAAGTTTGGTAAATAAATACAATCTTTGATTCTTATAAGGCATCAACAAATCAATAATCATTCTACATATTTTGTTGTTTTAACCTAAAATCAGCATTCCTTATATTTAAAATAGCACCAATCATCTAAGGTAACGAACCACTATAAAAAGGCTTAACTGGAAATTAAAATCACGATAACATTTACACTTTATAATACTCAAATAAGTTTTTGAATTAAACAAACAATGTTCATTGTCAAAACGATTATTAAAATAAAATGTGTAAATATATATATTTTATGTAACTGATTAATATTTTAATAAAAATGTAATACGGCAAACCTATAGCTTATAGAATAAACATTGTTTTCCATTGATAAAATTACAAAATATGATTTTAGCACAATATAAGATACTTCAAATGTATAAGTACTCGATAAAACTTAATACTGAAAAACAAATTCAGTATGAATAAAAATAAAATACCTTAACGGATAAAATGGCACAGCTTTAACAGGTGAATTAAATATTCAGTCTCTGATTTTACAATGAATTCGGTGAGATTAAATGATAAATAATGGAAATTGAAATACACTGATCTTAATTAAACTGGAATGAAGAATGGCTTAACAGGGTAAAATACTGAAATAAAAATACATGCTTATCACAATGGTTCGATGTAGATAAATTCTGCAGTCTAAGCCTTGATCGAGTGTTGCGTCGGTTGTGATATTGCGTAGTTTGCTGGTAGAACGTAAACTATTCCATTGTTGTTGTCCTTCCTGAATCCTGCTTGTTGAGTTTCCGGGTTGACTTCCACCCGCAGGTGACGACTCTTGCTACCCAACATACACTGGAACTTGTTGGCAACATTGACTGTCAGTTCTGCTCCTCGGATTCTGGAAAAAGTTCACCTAATTAACAAGTATATTTAGAGTTATATTTTTCTCTTCCCCAACAAACCTAAACTGTCTTGCACCCCTGAGCCCAAGCCCGCCGGGCACATTTACTGAAACCAGACTGCTCAATGATGTCCTATTATATATTCCATATCAATACTTACCCAACTAAATAGCTTCTCTTTGTATCTGTATAAGTCAACAATATTATAAACAGAAAAACATTCAAAACAATTTACTACAAATCTTACTTTAAGTATCACAATACAATTTTGAATGGTACTTACTGTAGGTATCTCGTGCACAAAACACCAACCAGTTCCCCAACCCTCTCCTCTGTTGTCTTGAGTGACAACACAAGGTCGTTGCCTTTGTTGGAATGTATCACTACCAACTGATCCCTGCCTGGACTCACACTTAGGGCTACCACCTGCAAAAAAACAACTTTGAAGCGTGCATTTCCTTATAAAACGATACTGAAACAAAATGCTTCAAGTAACATCAAAAGAAAGTGTACGTAATCAATTTGAAATTCTGTATGATTGTTTATAAAGTAACAGTAACGGTCTAGTTATAATTTTTTAAATATGAATTTAGTTAAATGGGTACTTTATGTTACAGCTTTAAAATATTTTCTTTTACAGCAGGGTGCCAACCAAACAGTGGGCTTAAATAAACAATTGTTTTGTGTGTTTTCTGTTATTGTGTCAGCTGTGTGAGTTGTGAAAAATAAAGCACTTTTTTCTTTGTTTGTTTATAAAGTCCTGAATTCCTAAAAGAAATTACATCAAACAGTATCTATCTTTACTAGAGAAAAATGTGTGTACAAGAGAAAATCTGTTGTAAACTGTGTATAAGTATATGATATTTTAGCTTTTTGTTACAATTTTTCTTGAAGAAAGGTCTACTTAATGTATATAACATGATAACTAACGTTTATGTCCAACTAGCAGAATACCCGTCCTTCGTACGGGGTTGGCATATAAGTATAAAATGCTTATTGCAGTTATACTCAAGCTTTGCGTTTGCAATGGGGGAGAACACAGTTTGATAAAATTTGTTTGGTAGATAGTATTCCCCATCTATCTAACATGCCATAATGTTCTACCAATTCACTTAAACAATAGAGAAAAATAAATCAAACATTTGCAAAACGTCACTAATTTTTAGAAAATTAAAAACATAAACATAACCATTAAAAAATCCTACTTTGACAGTTCTCATTGTGTATCACAGTTTTTGTTGCTGCTTAGTTCAAATTAGCTGTTTTCATAGATGCAAAAAAATAATAGTGCTGTACCCTGTTGGTAAATCTTATAACTTTTTAATGCTTTTCACATCATAGAACCAACTTTTTTAGTTGACACAGCTGACTAAATTCTTTAATTCCCTTTAAATGTGAATACTCATAAGGTTAACATGGGGAACTACAGAGCAACAGGGGCGGAGCCCGAAAGGATTTTTGAGATAGGAATATGCCTATATGTTAATCGGGAATGTGAGCTATCACCATGCCAAATTTCAGCCCAATCCGTCCAGTAGTTAATGTGTGATTGAACTTCAAACAAACAAACACACAAACTTTTACATTTATAATATTAGTAAGATTATATTGATGAAACAAATTACAGTAAAATCACATTATTATGTTTATGTTTTCTTTGTAAACAATTTTTGTCAATATTTTAAAGTTATCCTATGTAAACAATAAACCATAACACAATTTAAAACATTTGCCACAAGCCTGAGATCTTTTACTTCCTGATCTGCAATGGATCTTCTAACACTTTTTCGCAAAAATATTTCCAAACGAAAAATATTTTTTACAAGTTTCTTATATTACTACTAGACCTAAGGAAAATTCCAGTCTTTTTGAAAAATCTGGTTTATTTATTATGACAAAAATGCTTAAAATTTTAAGATTAATTTATTTTTAATGGCACCCAAATCAAGATAATAAAATAAGCACAAAAAAAATTCTTGTAGCCTACTAGTTTTAAGTTATATTATTGTGTTTTTATTGACACCATTGTATTTTTCTTAATGAAACTACAAAATAAAGAATGATTTGATTTGATTAGAAACCTTTAAGAAATAACTGGGATTCACTAAATTAGTTTTAGGAGTACAAAAAAACTGCTTTTGAATTGATTTTTGCTAACACTATTTGTTACACACTGTTGGGTTGGTAGCCTAAGAGGGACGCGTTGCAGAAAGTCAACAGTCCCGGAAGGTCAAATAATTTATACCTGTGCCGCTAGGTCAAAAACTACAATGTTTGCAGTGTCTGTAGATCAAAAATCCCAGTAAGTCAAATAGTACAGTCCAGGCTAAAAACGTAGTCTATGTTAAAGCAATTGACTTATTGGGAATTTGACCTAATGCAACAGCAGTTTTAATAAAACGAAATAAGATAAAATATAAGTTCAGTTTCGCTGAGTCAACAGTGCCGGAAGGTCAAAAGTATAATCAGTTAAAAACAACGATAGTCCTCTCGACGCATGACTTCAATAATTTCGTGTTTTGGTGTACTTAAAGTTGTGCTAAGATTTTGAAAATTGGCACAGAGCTTCTTGGTTAGTCCTACTCAATGACTATTTTGTTGGAACTTTAAACTATTTACCGATCTAATTAATAAAAATTGATATGTATGGTGAAATAGTTTTAAATCGTGATTTCTAACATGAAAAAGTTAGCATGCGAGATTTTTGTTTGTTTTTGGGTTAGAGAAGTTTTGTCTGTGACAAAGTTGTAGCCAAAAGTGTGATGCGTAAAATATATTTTTTTGAATTTTTTACGATAAGTGGTTCAATAGATAACTTGGGTTGAAGAGGACGGAAAATTTAGCATTTCGCAACGCATGGAAAGAACTACATCGTACGATGCGACTGCTGAGTGGACTTTTAATTTACAGTTCTAAGGACAAGAAAAAGATGAATATACAGATTACCAGTACATTCTTATTATTTATAAAACATCTTTCTGTATTACCAGCTTACATTTTTCACTTATATTAATAAGAATACATCACAAACAAGGTGTTAAAAATAAGCGGAGAGACACTTTACCTAGTAATTCCTTGGGTCAAAATAAACAGAAAATGAACGATAACATTTTTTCCAAAATCGTTTCGTTAACCAGATATCCGCCACTTTGTATTTTTTACATACAAATATTTATCTTTACACTTTTCCAACCGATGTTTATGAAACTTGGTATGTACGTTAAGGTAGGAGAGACCCATGTTATAAAAAAAAGATTCATCTCGATTCACCCTAAAATTTCAAAATTTAACACTTAACTACAATATAATATACTATACCACAATATTTACGTATCACCATAAATCTTTAATAAAATAAAACGTCCACTTATTAAAATCCAAAGTAAATCAATTTAATCTTCCTTTTTTGAAAAATATAGTAAAAAAAATTAAGCGATGTTAAAATAACGACAGGCGAGTTTCGATCTGGAAGTTTCAGGTTTGAACCTAGGAGGATTTAACATTAATTAACATTAATGTTTAATCCTCCTAGGTTTGAAGTGATTGAGAGGAATACATGAAACCGAAGGGGGGAGGTAGCAACAAGTGCACTGGTACTTACTAGTGTCCAATTACAATTTAAATTGTAATTGGGATATCGGATACGGTAAGAATTAGAGAAAACTTTAAATGGGGGACATTCCTTTATTTCTTGTGGCAGTTAAAAATATGATTTTTGTTTTTTGAAATTCAGCCGCCATTTTCCAAAATGGCGGCCAAATTTGAAATTTCTTATAGAACACCCTATATTTTATCATGTTTTCGGATAGAATATGCAATTTAAAAACTTTTTTATAATTGACATTTTTTCGATAAACCGACTCGTTTAGGAGTTATAGCCTATGGAAAAATGACTTCCTGTGTACATTTTACATCATGTAGCTCCTAAACAAGTAAGTTTATAGCAACAATGGGAAGAGTAAAAAAGTCTTACAATTGCATCCACATTCCAAAAAGACCATAAAATTCATTAAAAATATGAATTATATTATTTAAAAAAATGGCGGCAAACTTGAAAAGTGGAAAACTTTTTATTTTATAGTCTTAAAGGAATGTAGATGCAATTCTAAGACTGATTTACTTTTTGCAATTTTGCTCTAAACTTACTCGTTTAGGAGCTACATGATGTAAAATGTAAACCGGAAGTCATTTTTCCATAGGCTGTAATCCTAAACGAGTGGGTTTATCAAAAAAATGTCAAAGCTAACAAAGTTTTTAAATTGCATATTCTATCCGAAAACATGATAAAAAACTAAAATCATATTTTAACTGCCACAAAAATTAAAGGTATGTGCCCCATTTAAAGTTTTCTCTAATTCTTACCGTTTCCGATTTCCCAATGGTGGACTCCTTGAGTTGATCACCCTATATATATGAATTTGAACGGATGGTGTTTTTGGCCTCTAGGGACCTCAAAACGAAAAATTAAATCGGTCCCGCGGGTCCAGGTGTTACCATAAGTACTACGGTTATAGCTTATTCCCTACATGGGATATTCGCCAAAAACGTAATAGTTATATAGAACAATATTACATTCAACCAGCTGTTAGTTAAAACAAATTATATGGGGAAAACAAATCAATGATTATAAAGATTCCTTTAAAAATAATTTGAACATCCTACAATTTTACTATGCATATTTAATTAATCTGCCATCCTCATACCTAAGAATTGAATGTATCAATGGTCAGCATTACACATAGTATAAATATGTCAACTCTAAATATGTCTTTAAATTTGTTTCCAAATGCTGAATGTTTACAGCTGTTATGTTAAGCAAATTATATTAGCTTAGAAGGTAAGCGTCGGCTGCTAGACTTTTTAAAAATTAAAACTTAATTTCTAAAAAACTGGGACCCTTAATTATAATTATGGCTTTGACATTCCCTAGTTCTCAAAATTATCTTTCTTTCAACATAAAAATAATGAAAATCCGTCGACTGGTTGATTCAGAATGTGAAAAACCTCATTTACGTTTTAATAATATATATGATAGTTTGGACAGGTTTCAACCCTTCCGAGGCGTAATACATTTACACAGTTTATGTGTAGACTACATTATAACTCATAAAATAGTTCTACAATTAAATGGATCTCCTTTTACAAACGTATATAATAACCAGAAATTTTCAGATCGTCCTTGCGTGTATTTTATGCCACCAATTTTGACGAAAGGCTTTTCATTACATAAACTATACCTATTTACAGTGTTGACCAAACAGTTGGCAAGAAACATTAATAGATAAGCTATGTACCAAATATGATAATTTTAGCTTTATTCTAATTATGACAAAACACGAAGTAACTAAAAGCGAGTTTTGTTGGTGTAGTAAGCGTTGCAGCAGGTCTACTTTACACTGAATCAACGTTCACTTTTATTGCTTTTGATCTTCCGGCACTGTTGACTCAGCGAAACTGAACTTGTATTTTACCGTATTTCGTTTTATGAAAACTGCTGTTGCATTAGGTCAAATTCCCAATAAGTCAATTGCTTTAACATAGACCACGTTTTTAGCTCGGACTGTACTATTTGACTTACTGGGATTTTTGATCTACAGACACTGCAAACATTGTAGTTTTTGACCTAGCGGCACAGGTATAAATTATTTGATCTTCCGGGACTGTTGACTTTCAGCAACATTCCCGCCTAAGAGAATACAGTATAGCATCTCGGAATTCAGTAGCAGAGAGACGATTCAATACTTGCCATATTTACACACATTTGGGGAGCATTGACCACTTTTGTGTCCATACAAAATACCACTGACAGAGGAGTAACATACCTCAGCGATGGGCATGCCCCGCCTCATTGGCTTGAACTTGTGTCCGTCCAACTTGTAGATGGCCAAGTCTGTGACTAGCAACACCCTGTCTGCTGGTTTGTTGTAGCGGTTGGTCTTCACTATGTATGACGAAAACAACACCTGCAAATTGTCATTTACAACGTTTACAAAAACAGTCAAAGTGTCAACCAATTAATTATAATAAATTTACTTAAATATAATTTTGTTAATTGATTTTATTGTTAAGAGAATAAAGTCGAGAAAAAACATATTCTGTAAATTTGTTTTGGCAGGTTATTGTAGAGTTTCCTACTCATATACCATGGTGAACCATCATAAAGAGTTGTTCTATGCTTGGGATTTTGTTGATCACTCCTGTGCCAAGTGTTATATTGATAGTTTTAAATTTTGGACACAAATTTCTCATTATTTATTTGTACAAAAGTGCAAAACAGAAGAATGTGAACTGCACATACTATGAGTGTTTCATCTGAATAAAAAAATGCCTTTTTTTAGAATGGTACTTTCAAACTGTCATCATGTTGACGAGCGTCATAATCTTGTTGTTCAATAGGAGAACGGTGTTCAACAGCATTGAGTTCTGTTGTTTCAGAATTCTGAGAGTTTTGCAAATGGCATATCATCAATTTTATTCAGGGCTAAGAGTCTATTCTCCAATTGAAAATGGTATAGTTTGATTTTTCCTTATTGTTTAGTTTATATTTTAAACCTATATCATTAAGTGAACAACCCTATAATTATAATTATCAAATCATAGTTTTTGTAAGCCGCATGAAATAACATCACGTTTCTTCACAATGATTCATAATTACCCTCTTTTTTCAACAACGGCTTGTTCATAAATAAATTGTTTCAGGCTTTTGGATTACAAATTTTAAAACCAAAATGCTACGCTATCACAGAACACAAAAGTTAAAAGGAATCATACTCTCTCTGTGTTTCTGAGGCAAAACATTCAAATATAAGCTAAATAATAACATAAACAACTGCAAAATCTGACCTTGTCAAACCTGTCGGAGTTCTTCAACTGACGCATACTGTCATTGAAGGCTTGGTAGTCTGCATTCTCAACTTGCAGACTCAAGTAGTTACCTAGCCACTTGCGGTCTAATCCAAAACTTGTTCTCTTGCCTCGTAAAGCGGAGGCTGCGTTGATCTGTGTAAAAACACAAAACCTGAACTTTCTTACAACTAGTGTGCACTTTTTCTAAAGTAAATCCTTTATCAATGCCTGATACAAAATCATTACTAATTGTTTAGCATCAGCTCAAATATATGTTGAATACAATGTTAGGTCTGTCCACTGTGGATGAAAGTATAAGAATAAGAAGAGACAGGTACAGTCATACTCTACTAAGAGATTTGTCTGTTTCCTAGTTATGGACCAAGCTTATAGCCATTTGTGATTGGCAGGATTTGAACCAGAGAATCTCAAAGTTCATTGTTTAGGACTCATTTCAATTACCATTGAGAAGGATAGTATCTTTTTTCGTCATTATTTCAATGCACATTTCTGATCCTCAACATGCATTTCATTTCTGTATTTTTCATTCCAACCTTAAAATTGACGCTAAAATTTGCTACCACACTCTGCTTTGTAAAACTACAAAAAATTAACCACAACACACCTGCATACGGAACATAGGCCATTCTTCTCTCTTGCGCACTCGCAGCACCATACTGGCGCGCCATCGGTCGTAGATGGAACGCAGCATCGGTATGTGAGCTCTCAGTGCTAGGGGTGGGGGAGGCCATCTCAGTGATCTGCCGTAGTCCCTCATCTTGCGGGCGTTACTGAACACAGAGACATGCTTTGGACAATGTGTACAGTGTGGCATAATGTGTTCGAAAACATGTATTTGCACAACCGTCAGCTTGTAGAAATGCTGTGTATGCCCACTACATTTTCTTGTTGTAAGTATTTCATTCATTGTGTTACCCATTGCTGTGAATCACAGTTGTGGTTCCAGTTACGCAATTAGATGAGTCTACCAGAAGGCTTTAGATTAGTAAAATTAAGTAGTTATTAATTTGTTTGAGACTGGTTGTTACTCGCCAGGGGGAGAAATCCTGACCCTTAACTCTTTTAAATACAAGTTGGGTCTGGTTAGTATGGTTCTTTTATTTTTTTATTTTTCAAATAATAAAAAAATGGAATAACTTAGCTGACTAAAATTATAAATTGAATACTGCTGTAAGAGAGATGCTTTAGAAGTGTGATATTAACAGTATCGTTCCAAAGTAACAGAAACAGTTACCTGGTAAAATGAGGGACATTTCCGAGCTGATACATTAAAAGTAACAGGGGCAGTTCAGTTACTCCACTTTTCTGAACCCAGATTTTTGTACATTTACATCTTGACATGTTCTTTTGCACATAAATACAGCAGCAAACCAACAACTTGTGTTTCAGAGCTGAATTTAGAAAGTTTTGCTAAGTATAGTATTAAAAAAATTACTATATTTGTTATATCGATAGCATCGATTGAGCATTAAAAAAATTACTTGCCAATATTTTATAAGTTCTTGTCTCAAGACAGGATCGACAGTAAAAGTCACAATTCAATAGAACTTTCTCTACCTTTACTTCAGTGTAATATATGTCCGTAAAGTATTTGACAGGTAAAATATATTTTTTTGTATTTTCATTTTTTTGCAAACTCACTACATTCTGGATGCAGAAAAGCAACCAAATCCATTTAAGTTATTTCAATAAAAAAATCTTAAATTGTTAAATTAAAATTCAATTGTATATTAAACTGAGTAAAAGTTACAATAAACATTATACAGCGTGTAATACTATCCAGTTAGTTATACTTCAACGTAACTCACCTGAATGTTTTCTGCATTTGAGAGAAGTACGATCTCATTTTGTACATCCGGTAATGTCTCATTATTGTCAAAGCAGCCTTCATCTTGTGATACCTGCATGTTAATACAAGTTTTTTAATACAAAAACTAATTAGTGCAAATCAGTTTGGAATATATTTTACTGCATTCTTGCTCATTTCAAACTACAGTATTGGAAAAGGAAGATTTTACCAAAAACGGTACCTCAGTAGTATTGTCTAGAGCTGATAGGCCGGATATTGCTGGTTCAATAAGGTCCAGCAAGAATGCATTTATCTTAATATGGTAAACAATGTCTTGCCTATTTGTCTTTTACGGCATTGGTAATTCTTTCTCTTCAGATCATTGTAGACCAGTAGTTAAAATTTAATACATTAAAAAAAATATTGAGATTTAAAACATGTTTTATATTTAAAGTAGACTCTCGCTTATCCGGATCGGCAATCGTGATTTTTTTAACGGCACAGTACAGTAGAAGTCCGATTATCCGAGCGAAAAGGGACCAAGACTACCTCGAATAATGAAAAAAATCGGATAACACAGCGGTAAAGATTATTACCGGTGGAAGTGCATATGCCCGGGCTATCATTACTGTGGACCTGGAACAAAATTCGGCCGTAAAGATTATTACCGGTGGAAGTGCATATGCCCGGGCTATCATTACTGTGGAACTGGAACAAAATTGAAAAAACGGCTATATACAGTACTGTGTATTTGCTCAACTCTCGACAGTCCGGATTTTTAGTAATCCGGACCGGACGACCGCCACATTAGTCCGGATGAGCGAGAGTCTACTGTAATATTTTTGTACTATAAAATATTACCAACCTTCTTCTGCAAATTGCACCTCGCCACTGTTTCTGAAGCAAGATCACAATATTGGGAATAACTTCGGCTCTCATCTGCAAAAAACACAAATAATTGTAACATGTTCTAATAACATTTGCAACGACAAACTAAGAGGTTCAATAAAGCAACTAAATAAAATAGCACTTTAACACAGTCTACACATTCCTTAAATATACACAACCAACCATTTATGCCACAAGAGAAACCCCCATCACAGGCGGTAAAATATATAACAAGTTTATAGCAATTGGGAGTGAGTGGAAACTACACCACTCTAAAAAGACTACGACCCACGTTAAAGAAGAGTATTCACATTTTCAAATAAACCTATTGAGCTTGGAAAAGAACATATAGCATGTTGAAAAAGATTTTTATAAAATGGAGATTTGAAACTGAACTAGGATAACATGTCAATTAGATTATTGAGGACGAAAATGAAAAATATCAATGTTGAAGGAATGACATTTACACCTTCAAATAAATGTTATTAAGTATTAAAAAAAGAGTATTGATGAAAAAGACCATTAAAAAAAATTGGTCGCTAAGACATAATTTTCTTTTCCTCAGACATCTTTATTTACAAGAACCCTCCAAAAAAGGTTTGAAACAATTAATTTGACATGTTATAGTACACTTAAAGTAAGGATTTCTAAACATTTATCTGAAAAAACCAGTAAGTTTAAAGGATAACTCCAATAAAGATTGAAATATAATTGGGCTACCTGTTCTAGTTTAAACAGAGTTGTGGGAGATCGGATGAAGATTTTTGTGTGTCCATACTTCACATCGTTGGCAAATCCTTTCTCTTTTATCAAAACAGCTGTTCCTTCCCTATCTGATCCTTTTATTTCCGCTCCTTTTCCATCTGATATTTTATAGTTTGGCCAAGTGTAGCAAGAAATCATCTTGTACCTGCATCAAATCACAGCATTTATCACCCCTCACACCTTTAATTGAGATATTGAAAACCCTATACATTAGCTACGGAGATGAAGCAAGAAAAATTAAATCATGGGTAAAATAAATACAGGGTGGCGCAAAATGGTCAAATTTGAACTACCTAGTACTGCTAGGGGGGGGGGGGTCAGGTTCACTGCTGGCCGTCTGTAAGTCGACCATAGTATCCAATTTGCCACGAGATGGCGCAGTAGAGGGTCGAGTACCGCGTTTTTGTTGTGGTTTTTTTCAGAAACAGTAAATCTTTTATTACGGTGCAACAGTACATGTTTTGACAAAATCTTGGGGTAGCCTGTAACAGACTGGTTCCTGATTGCATATCAATATCGTGTTGACTGCATTTCGGACAAAGGGGTCCGTCATTAGTGGTAAATCTACTGGACTTCCACGAACAGTTACTCCAAAAAACATTGAGCCCGAAAGATTTGTATGGTTTGTGTTTTGAATCTTGAAATAGTTACCAGAAATAATACAATTTTTATTTCACAAACAGATTAGTAGGCTTCTTGATTTATTCTTAAGTCTTAACTGAATCTTTAAACAATTGAATTAATTCATTTAAAATATTTAACATGTGGTAAAACAAAACACAGTAGTTTAGAAAAATATAACAGTAAGATCAAAAGGAATATCAATGAAGTGAAAATATATTCAATAAAGTTCACAACATCTTGATTGACATAGCCTACTAGCAACTTTGTAACATACGAGGTTATTTTTTGTAATGGGTTGTTTGAAAGTGTACTGAAACGTAAGTCAGTAAAATTGAAGTGTAAAATCAATCAACTGAGTACTCATTCTTTGTACAGGCTTGTATTTTTGTAGTCATTAGAGGGAAATGAGGAAATAGGGGCAATTAAGACACACCCCTGCCATAGCAAACCTGCAGACTAAGCAAATTTCCGTTTAAGCCTGATCAGATTTACACTGAAATATCAAAGTATAAAGTATACAAAGCCCTAAACATGTTAGATTTTAAAATCTTTCACAAACCTCTTCAGGAAGCGGTCGTATCTCTGCCTGTAGGCGAACCCAGCTCTACGCACCCTCACGTTCTCCAGAAGGCCCAAGTAGCGAACTTGGTGGATCACTCGTTCGTCGTTGAATGTTGTCGGGGATTTGTCTTCGTTCGGCTTGATGCAGCGCACATAGAATGGTTCCTTACTCGTCAATGTTTTTACCAACTCAATCATCGAGTTCTTGAACAGAGTGCCAGCACTCTGTGGTCTTTTGGTTGTCTGAAATTTAGAGTAGAATTTGAGTAAGTACTGTGTGGTTTAGTTTCACTGAGTGCACAATAAAAAAAAGTTACATAAAACAAAATGATAGGCCTATGATTTATTGATACATTTGAAAAAACCTTGAATTTCCGTGAATAAACATTTATTCACCTAACTTAGTCCTAGAACTTTTAAGAAAAATTGTTTGATAATAAAAACTACTGGCAGGCTGAGGTTCCTTGTTTTGTCCATAACTTCTCATTCTAGTCATTTTCATTCCAGGCAATATTTCCACTCTAGTGCAGAATAAATGTGAAATTTTACTGGATCTCAATGTTGAAATGTTTGTAGCAACAGAAAACATGAACAGTCTTTAAAATGTTTTAAAGTTGAGTTTTTGTTTTGATATTTACCACCTACCAGGCCTACTTAATCTATGCACCTCCTCAATCTAGTCATGAAAGTGATGCTGATTCATATAATGTTTCAATCCAAAAATAATAGGAACAACTGTTAACATATAAAGAATTTTAAAATATATTACTGTGGCTAAAAAATAATTTGAATATTGATCAATCACAAAAAAAGGCAAATTCAAACTGAAACCTGTAATACTTGCAGTACAGTGTATATTCCCTCTACTGATTATTATTTATTATAACATTAATTTTCATCAGTGACTAAAAGATCATTACCCTTGTGATGTCCATAGCTCCTTCAGGCCACATTGACTTGATTGCTGGATTGGAGGAGTTGTACAAGAGTCTTTTGAAGTCTTGAAACAAAGTGTCTTTGTTTTTATCGAGGAATCCGTAAATAGTATACACCACATCACCTGCATAGTGCCTGAAATGTAGAGCAAGTGATGTTCAACATTTGCAAATTATAAATTTAATGGGTAATACTAATATAAGTGTCATCCAGTATTTTTGACTTGAATATTTCACTCGATAATACTCTGGTACTGTATTTGTAAATTATTGTATAGAGTTAGATTTGAAGACCTTGCAACTAAAATATAAACCTATTGACAGTATAATTCTGTCTCTAACAACATTCAATAATTGTAAATTCTAAAACTTTAACTACGTTTAAGGTCAAATTAAAATACACCTTTATAACATTTTAGGCTGTGAAACTGTTTCATCTTCATTTGTACAACAAACTACCGTATTCTTAAGTAGCATGCCTAAATAATAAAACTCTTTGTGATGTTCAACAAAGATAACACACATTCAATCAACCCACCATTTTGCTAATACAGGGAATTAGCAAATCGGAGGCAACTGGTTAGTTTGTCACCATTGTATTTTATCAAATTTTGCATTATGAAAAAATTCTCTTAGAACAGGACAAATTTCACAGGATGTATCAGTACATGTTTGCAGATTGCGCTAAATGATTTATCACTGGTTTTACCTATCACAACAAGTAATCTTGCCAATGTACAAGTTTGATGTTCACCTGATGCAGAACTGAGTCTTGTGTTGAAGTTTCTTGTCCATCGGCTTGGTCTGTCTGCTAGCGTAATGTTGGTGAGTCGCCAGTTTCTTGTCCATCGCCTCCAGCACCAACTAACATCACAAACTTGTATCACAACAGTGCAATGTACACCTGGTGAGTGAATAGGTATACTCAAATATTTGGCGAAAACCCAAGCCATTCAGTGAGAGGACCATAGTGTGGAGGGGGTGGGAGAAAACCTCTGTGTCTAACTTAACAGGCTAATAACTTTAAATCATTTACACACTACACATTCGTTCAGAGCAGCTTTTAACGGGATCAGGTGATAAAATCTTGAGTCAAGAACTCCTTGAGATGCCCAAGAATACTAAGAAACCTGTTAACTTACCACTCCCCTCAATATAGTCATCTACTACAGCCAAGACATGATAAATCGTGAATTCTGATATTTCTATAACAATATGAGGGATTTTCCGTTTCCTAATGAGAGTGGCTTAATAAATACTTAATACTTTCGAATCAAAAATGCAACCAAACAAGCGGAATAAAAAAATGTACTGTCACAATCTACACATCACAATAAACCACTGTTGAACTTGAAACCGTTAACACTGCTAACATTTTGTTACTAAACCATTATGTCTAAAAATTTACCAAACAATTTAAAAATATTGGTGTGTCTAATACTAAACTATAAAAATGTTGATTTGCCACATTATGAATCGATTTCCACTTTTAGAAAGACAGTATTTCGGAAAATATTTTGAAGGCAAGGCATAATCCTTTGAAAATGAAAGTGAACAAAAACCCCAATGAACCCCACATTGTATATGGTGAGGTGGCAGCTACTTAGAATCTTCAGTATAAAAATTGACTGTATACAAATGTTTTTTATCCCACCCCAATTGAATGGACATAATCTGAGTATCAATGTATTCACAGTTATGAATAACTTAAAAGAAAGCGGCAAGTCTATGTTGCATAACGGTGTTTATTTTGGTTTATAGGTTTACACAACAACAAAATTAGGCCCTAATTCATCACACCTCTATTGTTTAGATACTGTTAAGCAATCTCACCTACCTCATCAGTAACTTTGCCCACATTGAGACAAGCCTCGTCCAGCGTAGAAATGATTCCTTTGTGGGGCATCTCCACTAGGTCGCAGATGATCTGATTGTTGAAGTACTCTATGTTCTTCCACTCAATCCCCTCCCTTTTGTATTCTTCCTGTTCTTGTTTCAAAACCAGCTCTGAAGAAAATACATATTGTCTCATTTAAACATTCGATAATTAACTGTTGAAGGTGACATTTCATATTGAGAAACCTATTTTTTTTTTCTTCTGACCACCATATTTACTTTGTGACCAGCAAAAATAAAAGGGAGATATTTTTTACCCACTATTAAAAGTTGCACCATAAAGCAATTAAAAAAATAAACTCTATGGTTGTACAATAAACTAAAGATAATTTTAACAAGAAAATGTTCATTGAAGAATGTTTCCTTAAAAAAGCAAAAGTAAATATCACGGCTACTGGTTGAGAAAATCCCTTACCAATAAACAGTTGCTGAAGCTTCTCGTTGCAATAGTTGATGCAGAACTGTTCAAAGCTGTTAGAGTCAAAGACTTCAAATCCGTAGATGTCAAGCACTCCAATAACTGTGCCCCTGCGTCTAGGTCCGGCCACGTCAATGGCTGCGTTGATCTTGCTTACAATCCATGTGAACAGTCGGTCGTATATCGCCTGAGAGTATGAAACATGTAAATACATACTATTTTCTGTTGACTTCAATAATGTTTGTGACTATTCAGTATTTATATCCTAGAGTTATACTACTAACTTTTTTTGTGTACCTCGTTTGCCTTTGGTAATTTTAGATTTTTAGAATGTAAACGGTCCAAACACACTTTGATGGTAAAATTTGAAGAATGTTAGGATGTGTGTAAATGTTTGGTTAAGCTAGAGTGCACTAGTTCACTTAACTGTCTTTCTCTTAAATTTACAGTAAATGCATATGTTTTACCTTCCCTTATAGTTTATAAAACTACAAGACAATAGTTAGTAATAGCAAGTTTACCAGTGATCAATAGTTAGTTTTACTCAGTTAAAATAGTTTTGAAGTAGGTAGAAAAATAGTAGTAAACAAAACATTAGTTTGCACTCTAAATACCACACATAAATATACTTTATAGTTGTCTTGAACTGAACATTCGAGAGATGACAAATCTACAAAGAACGATTTTTATTCAATGATTTTTCTCAATGTTAAGGACACCTGTTGTAATAGTTTCTTAAGAATTTGAGGTTTAGGGCAAAAAAATTATTAATAAAGCTAAATAGTATTAATAATATGCTAAATAATGCTTAGTTTTGAAATTAACAAAAGAGAAAAGAAATAACTCACAAGTACCTAAAAAAAAAAAAAAGTAAAAAGTAAGTAATACCTTCGCAAGAGCATCCCTTCCATATTCAGCTTCTGTAAGTGTGTGAGTTTTCTGCATCACCTCACCCCTAGCAGCAATCACTCGTTCTGTGAGAGCTCGACGCAACTCGCTCTCTCCCACGCTCAACAGAGACGAAACTCGACGCAGAGATGTCTCTTGTTTGATGCTAACATCGTCTTCGCTTGTCGTAAAAGTAACATTGCCCTTCAATAACAAAATACTGAATCAAACACTGACTAAAATAAATATACACTTTGATGAAATTGCAAAGAAAATGGATGTTTGGGAATGATGGTATTTTTTTTATTAATAAGGATTGATGCGAGTTTAATATTTAACCTGAGATTTTATTTGAATACAAAGACTAATTATTTTCTTAATTAAAACAGACATTGGATTTATCTTGATTACAGTAAAAAACATTACGAAACTCATAGCATTTTTTAGGTTATGCTTAAAAAGTTAATATTTACATTGGTTGTAAAGCTTTGGTCATTGCAAATTGAAACCGTTGACAAAACAATAACAAATCTTAGTTTGTTTACGTTGGCAAAATCCAAAAAAGGTTGTAAACATTACATTCGCATAGTAAACGTTCGTTTTCCGTAGTAAACAATGTAATGATGAATTTTGCAGGTGATAAAACATGTAACGAAAACAAGTTACACAGTAGTGTAGCAAAAAATTGACTTAATAATTTCCTGCTACCATTCATGTATAATAACAGCCCTTTTACTTGTCTTCAAAATACATGCAAATTCCCGGTTTTTCAGGTTGGCTGGACTTACAAAATTAAAACATGTGATAAATAATAGGTTTTCCTTGCTTCAAGAATACATTGGAGATTCCCCAGGCAGTTGATAGCACATTAAGGTTCACAACACAATAAATTTTATGTTTCGCCCCTACAAGAAGGCTTTTTCATTCAGGAGGAAGTACTAGCATAGCAGTAGGAAAACTGGTATTTGTTTGAACAAATTTAAACTCAACTAACTGGAAGTATTTTTTTGGGCAGCTTAATCCTTTTTCCTACAACCCCCCCCCCCCCAGGATGCTAGGCACGATCCCTTGACTGCAGACAAGACCTTGGAGTTGCAGCATTATCACTTGAATAAAATTCATTGGTGATCTGGTGGAATTTAAACCCGGGACCTCAGAGATCAAAGTCTATGCTCTACCACTACCAGCTCGCTCCCCAATCGTTCTTTCTCAATGCAATAAATAATAACAATATTCAATAAACGCACCAGGTGCAGCACAGCAGCCACCACTTGCCACAGAGTGGTCTGTTCCGCAGGTGAGAAGCCTAGGGTGGTGCAGGCGGCCACCGTGGCTCGGTGGTTAGTACGGTCCACCTCTGAGACTGAGGCGACTGCGCCACCTTGTGAGGCGTAATGGTAGTCTGCTGGACTGCCACTCAACTCTAGACCCTTCATGTCTGCACTCTTACACGACCCCAACACCTGCCATCAGAATGTTAAATAATTAGTTCTCTGAATTAAAAATGCATAACTCTTCAGTGACCTTTTCCCATAAACTCTTGGTTCACAATACACTCTTTTAACCTGTTTATTATGTAAAATTATCGTCTAAAATTTACTTTAAAACTATGGTTGACAAAACTAGACCTGTACGGACACGATTCTATTTTATTACTGCGATATGGATGGGAGTAAGAGGGGAGAGTCTCTAATTTATAGTAAAGGTCAGCTAAACCAACCAAAAGAGGTGGATGAATTAACCTCTATTTTTGCCCAGGAAGAGGTGTTTAATCCAAGCAGTGGTTGACCCAGGGTCAGTTCAGAAAAGGTTGATTATAATATGATTACCATGTATGGTTTTTTGTTAAAATTGACAATAAACATATATACAATCATACCCATTGTTACTACTATAGGCCTACTTTAATACTCATATGTGTATGTGGAATAATATTTTTTGTAGAGTATTTTCTGAACAGTTTAGGATAGATCAAGTTATAATAGTAACCTGATAGAAACTGTGGAAGTTGCGTTCCCCAGATTGTTGCAGAATCACTCTCGACTTCTCCAATAAGTAGTTGACAATGTGGCCACCGATCGGATCGCCTTTGAAGTCAAAGTTTATGTCCATGTACTTTCCAAAGCGGGAGGAATTGTCATTTCTGTTGGTCTTTGCGTTTCCAAAAGACTCCAGAATGGCATTTGACTGGATCAGGACATTTTTAACCCTAGGAAAAAATGAAATAACCTTAACTCAAGATGAGATAAGATGCTTTACACAAAAGATGCTATCCTAGGCTATACAAAGGATAGTATTAAAATGGTGTAGGCTATGACATTAAGAGGCGGTTCACGAGTCACGGGTTATCCTTAGTTCGAGCGCAAAATCCAGTTATAGCCGGTTTTTTGCGCCACGGCTTAGAAATTGGCTTCACGAGTACGAGGTTACCCGCGCTCGGGCACAGACAGATAAACTTCACCCAATTATGACAGGGATAAACCCGAGCGCAAAAAGTCGGCTTCACGGGATCAATTAGAGAAAACCCCGGGTTCACAAGTCATGGTCTAGCGCAAACTGGATAATCTCGGGCGTAAATAACAATGGTTTTGGACTTCAACTTAACCCTGCTAGGGGGCAGGGCTAAGGTGACATCATGTCGGGATTCTCATTTGCTCGTTTATTGTTTTTTTGTTAGCAAAAAGAATGTTATATTCGGATTCGCCATTAAATTCCGAACAATTTCATTACTCGGACATTACTCAACATGATATTTTATTTTTTTATTTTTTTTTTACTGATTGCCGAAAACATGCAAAAAATCGTAAAAAGTAACTGTTGAGACATTTTAATTAATTTTTACTAAGTAAAAATATAACTAATAGCTTAACATATTCATATAAATTTAAATTGCAATCGAATCTTATTGCGTAAATGTTTTATATTTATTTTAGCAAATTTGAATCCTTTTATTTCAGCCGAATAATATCAAAATAAAAATGGTTCCATCAAACACTGTTAGGTTTGTCTAAGATTTGTTATTGTATAAAATTAGTACAATTTTTGTTCCGCCATTAAATTCATATAAACATAGGTCATTTTACTTAAGTATCCAAATTTTATTTTGTATTTTTTAAATTATATGTTTATATTATTATGTTTATGATTTGTTAAAGAAAGACCTTTTCATCTGATAATGTCTTAATATTTATCATATCGTGATTTACAATAAATTGCTTCAATTTGCTGAGGTAAAAGATAAATTCTATAGTTAAATATACAAAACGTTTTATTACAACAAAATATTTTTTTAAAATTATAACCTGTTTTCTAATGCTTAGGGCTGCGCTCTGCCCGTCTGGCGCGCGCAAATGTTCTTAGGGGTTTAGTTCTTAGGCCTGCTGTTTGTAGCCCCAGGAATTGTGAACCGATTTACGAGATCTTGGTGTCATAAAATGTTATTGTAGGTTTGCCATTTTATATTTACGTTTATTACTGTATACGTATGAAGGCATCTCGGCTCCTATAATAGCCAGTTGTTGCTTCAAATTTATTTTTTATACAAATTACTGATACATAAAAGATATTCATAAATCTTTGAAAAGAGCAGTCATTTTATTAAATAATTTGAATGTTTGGATACAACTGCTAACCTGATAAAGTTTGTCTTATTTTTGAACATAATTGGTAATAATTTTATTGCAAACATTACCAAGATTTGTATAAACTTTTTTTAAAACATAATTGCATTTTCCCGATTCAATGTATTCAGTAAAAGTGTATTATTCATAATTCAATGATAAATTGAGTAACCTTAAACTTTAGTATAAAATGAATTCAAGTGCAAGTCCACAACCTTTTATACGATATCAGTAAATACTCTGTTTAATTATAATAATTTATGAACCAATCATTATGACGCAACGTCATCCTATTGTTTTGGGGCTCGTCGACCGCGAGCAGCGGCCCGGCAGGTGGCTGTTAGGCCCCGTTTATGCACCAAGTGCGGGAGCGGTGCGATAGCGGGCCCGCTCCCGCTGTAAATGAGTCTGTTTATGCACGAAGAGCGATAGCGGTAGCGGTTGGTTAAAGGAGAATGGAAGGGGGACACAGTCTTGCCAACTCAAACTCTACCAAATAATTAACTCAACTATTTGTCCTAAGTGCACGCGCGCGTGGGTCAAGTTCGCAACCCTGGCTTCAGCCGCTCCCGCTCCCGCAGTGCATAAACAGACCCATTTGACTCAATGTAGTTGAAAACCGCTCTATTCCAAGCAACCGCTGCGATTCCTAACTACACAGCGGGCGAATTAGAAATCGCAGCGGGAGGTCAACCGCTATCGCTATCGCTCTTGGTGCATAAACAGCCCCATTTAACTCAATGGTGTTAGAAATCGCTCCCGCTGTCGCTACCGCTACCGCACTTGGTGCATAAACGGGGCCTTAGTTGCCAACCTCCCAACGAAAATTCCCAGTTAATCCCTGCTCTTGAGCGACGGCCAGCGTTGGTCTCGGCTAAGCTTGATCTCGGCTAACGCTCTATGTCGTGAACCTATTTTTTGACCGTCGGTTAAAATTGGTCGAGATCAACGATAACCGCGGGCCACGAAACCCCGTACTCGTGAACCGCCTCTAAATATTGCCAGTTTTAAGAGTTAATTTTTGTCGTTTCTTTTTTTTTACTCCTTTGACTTGTAAGGATTGTCTCTGGTTATTGCTTACTTCCCTAATTAACATTCAAAGTTTAAAGGCTCAAGTTTATTGACCTTGATTGGAAAATAAGTGATGCTTCAAAAGACTCTGCTAACCCATGTGAAGAACTTTTTTTCATACACGATTATTTAGACAAATTCACAAAACAAATGTGTTACATTTATTAATCTTACAAGTTTGCTTTCAAAACAATTTAAAATCTTTTTTTCCTAGTTATGGAAAATCTTGTTTTCTATATTTACCCATGAAAAAGTCTAACGTGACAGGTTTACAACAGGGACAGGTTTCTACTGTTTTGCCAGAACAGTAAAAAATCCAAAATAAAATTATTGAAATACTGTTAATTGAAATTATTTTAATGTTATGACTAGACTAAATATCAATAAAGGGGTAGCAATTATAGTGAGATATACAACGTTTCACAATAGTAAACCCAAATACATTTTTATAATGTTAAGATAATATATTAATCACAACTCATTCCTTTGACAAACTCTGCAGATAGGCCTATATTTTACAACACGAGAAAAATGAACAGTCCACGAATACATCTGATTCTTTTGTACCGGATGGGAAAAAATACTAATCTAGAGGCTAAATACCTTGATGCCAACGTAATTCTTGGTACCAAGGATTACATCGGCATCAAGGTATTTAACGGGTAAGTAATCCGGAAGGCAATACCTAAAAATTAAGAGGAAAAATAGCTAGTTTAACACCAAAATGCATATACTTATATCAGTTGATTTTGATGCAGCAGGACAATAGATTTTTAAAGTTTTTAATCAGGTTACGTTTGACAGTTATTGCAAGCTCAACTTGTTATCTTCTGAGCTTTATCAGTTCTAGTGCTTGATAACTGATAAGTCTGAGTGGTTATGGAAACTTTACCCAACTCTTAGTTATCACTTTGTCAAAAATAAAGTATTACTACAGCTTTAGATGTATGGATTTAGTTAGATAAATAAGAGATCATTCTTATCTTCAATTATTTAGAACATCAAAACTTCAAATTTTTTGTTTTAATTGTTTTAAAATGGTTTTCCAAATAAGAAATTTCAAACTTATTAAAATTACCAAGTGCAGTTTTTCAGATGGAATTTATTCAAGCATATTTAACTACTGATTTATGTCAAATGTTTTGAAAAGTGTCTTACAAATTGTATTTGTTTTTTCTTTAAAGATCAAATACTTAAGGAACTGTTCTTTATTTATAACTAACTAACAATTTCCCCAAAAATAGAATAATATATCCAACATGTATTACAACTTACAACCAATTCAATAATAGAAAAATTAGCTAGAATACAGCCTATTCCTATGAGAAGTCAGTCAGCAAGCAGCAGATAGAGGACGAAATGAGAGCCCAGAAACCCAAACAGTTACCGACAGGATCATTAAAACAACATAAACTAGAACAGCTTGTAATAACATAGCAAGCAGGCCTACAATTTCTTCTGCTCCGACCGGGCGTGTTACACTCATAAAAGTCTGACTCAGCAACAGTGTAAAGAATTGAAGTTGAACAATAGCTCTGCCAGTTATTGTTTAAATATTAAAAAAGGGATTTCTCGGTCAATTCACTTCTTGTCTGCACTCAAAAACAGGCTGAGTAAGAGTGTTAATGTTACCTCACCGTCTAGAGCAATAAAGAGTTATCTGGAATGAAAACTGGACAGAAATTTAGTTACAAACAAGTAGTGTTGGTTATGGTTTTGAAAATGAAACCATGTAAATGTGACATATAGCTTAAATTATCATTAATATTCTTTGTGTTACAATATTAGTTTAGAGAACAGTAAAGATCCAATTTTAAATTTTGTATAAAAGCTAACAATAAAAAATGGCAGTATTTCCATTGATTGGATTTAGTTTTTTTTTATACGTTTTTAATCTTTTAAATTTAGTTTGAGCATTGACATTATTTAAAATGTTAATTACAGTTAAAGAATACACCAAAGTTAAAACAAAATAAATACATAAACAACCAGGAAATATTTTTTGCAAACCTTGATGAACTCATTAAGTCAGTTATCCCAGTGTTAACTCATACATGTTAGAGATAAAACTAAGCCTTGCAATAGTGGTAAAAGAGAGCTGAAAAGGATTCGTAGGAAACTAGATCGAAGGCATATTTTTAATGTTTAGTAAACATTTTAGACCTTATATTATAACTCACCTCTCAATCTCCTTCTGTTTGCCGACATTGGTGACGGCCGCGATGTACTTCATGATGATCTTACTAGCTTCTGTCTTTCCACTCCCTGACTCTCCGGAGATTACGATGCAAGTGTCTCGCCCTTGTTGTTTCATGGCTCTGTGTGCCGCGTCCGCGATGGCAAACACATGCGGAGGATTTTCAAACATCTCTCTACCTGTGTGAACAGTTCAATGAATAAAAATTCATGCATTTTTGATAATCAATTTGGGTGGATTCCAGGATTTAAAAAAAGCAAGTCCAGCATATTATGAATTTCAGAAACTATATGAAAGACGTAAACCAAATACCCAAGCCGCAGCAAACCTGCAGACTAAGCAAATTTCCATTAGCCTTGGGAATTGATTTTAAATTAAATCTATTTAAATAACATTAAGTTTAACGAGTACCTAGGTTTGCTGCTACAAGGAGGCTAATAAAGGGCGGTTTTTAGTAAGTTAAAATATTAGTAGCTTACTATAAAATAAATAAATATACCATGTTTGATCACAATATTTCCATAAACAAGCAAACTAAAACATTTGACAATATTCTCCATTAAAATAACATGGTAATTTTAAATTTGTAGTTTTTTTCATTTTCTCGGTAAACCAATAATCGTACAAAAACACTTTTTTTTGGTTTACTAGATTATTTGTTTTTTTAAGCTCATTAAAAACGTCTAGTGATAAATTGGGAAACTTTGTGTTAAAACCCCTGTAACACCCTGTTTCCATGGTCCGATCTAGCTGGTTCGCAAACTCATTCAAGTTTATCCCTTACACCTTCAAACCAAATTTCATCAAAATCTGAGAAAAAATTACTCAAGTTATCGCGTTTACGGACATAAATACGAGGGCTGTTTTTTTTCAAGTTCCGTTTGTTTCCCCAAATAACCAGCGTAGTGGCGGGAGGCGGGGCTGCGTGTTGTGTGATTGCGCCGCTCCCCCACTACAACCAACGCCGTTGCCGGCTCCAATCCATCAGTCGTAGCCGAGCTACGGGCGAGTAAAGATGGCCGCTACGATCAATTCTCCCGCCAGTTGTGAGTTGAGAAGTGTGATTTGTTTCCTTCAAGCTGAAGGATGTAGTGCTGCTGAAATCCATCGCAGAATGAGTGTTGTGTATGGTGAACACTGTATGAGTGATAGCGCGATAAGAAAATGGTGTAGGCTATTTGCTGAAGGTCGAACAGACGTCCATGACGAAGGCGGTCAAGGACGCAAGTCGGTCGCTACTGCAAGTTTGGTTGAACGAGTTGACCAAGCGTTCCGAGAGAAACGGAGGTTTACAATTGATGAACTTTCTACCGAATTTCCAGCCATTTCAAGGTCTTCCTTGTACAAGATTGTGACCACCAAGCTAGGGTACCGAAAACTGTGTGCCCGTTGGGTACCCAAAATGTTGAGTGAGGATCACAAAACGAAGCGAATGGCGTCAGCTCTAACTTTTCTGACGCGATATGACAACGAGATAGACAGTTTTTTAAAGTCTATTGTTACTGGGGATGAAACTCCTGTATGAAAATCCAGAAACCAAGGAACAATCAAAGCAATGGATGCACACTCACTCCCCTAGCAAGCCCAAAAAATTCAGGCAGACTTTGACCAAGAGGAAAACAATGGCTACAGTGTTTTGGGACCAAAAAAGTGTGCTTCTGGTTGAGTTCATGCAACAGGGAACAACGATAACAAAGGAATCATACTGTGAGACTCTACATCGCCTCCGGAGAGCTATACAAAACAAACGGAGAGGAATGCTGTCATCCGGCGTGGTCCTGATCCACGATAATGCACGACCGCATAGTGCCAATGTCACAAAACAACTTCTGCAAAAGTTCAAATGGGAAGTTTTCGACCATCCGCCGTATAGTCCTGACTTAGTGCCCAGTGACTATCACCTCTTTCGAGAATGAAGGCGTGGTTAGGTGGACGACGCTTCGCTGACAACGAAGAGCTTCAAGCCACTGTAAGGGCCTACCTGAGCTCACAGGCGGCAGACTTCTTCGAGGAGGGTATAGGAAAACTTGTCTCTCGCTATGACAAGAGCCTCAACATTTTTGGTGACTACGTAGAAAAATAAGTAAGAAATTACGAATCTTTTGGTAATAAAATCATCTTTTTATCTCAATGTGTTTATTATTTATGGCCTATCGGAACTTGAAAAAAAAACTGAATTTTAGAAAGTCTAATAAATTTACAATTTATTCAGGACTCAGTAGCCATTGTTCATTACACTCTTAATTTCAGTACACAAATTTTAACAGCCAGGCTGACAATTTAAACACAAAAATCTAGTTTGTAAAATTGATTAAATTGTATAAAAAGCAAGTTTTGTTACACAAAATAATAATAGTGGAAATAAGTAAAATATTATAACTTAGAAATATGAAGTTTGGGAAGGAAATGTATTCTTTGAAAAGAAACAGAGTTTAAAAATTCTAAAAGTTGTGTGGTAAAAGAGTAAATGTTTGATTTCAAGGATGTTGGTCAATGAAAGTAGACTTTATTAACAGTGGCAACTTATCAATGTGTTACAAATTGACAAATTTAAAAGTAATTCTAGCAGAAACTAAATTTCTTATGGTTTAATGTAGCCAAGACTATAAAATTCTCACTATGCACATTCTGTTATAAGTATAAATATATTGTACTTTTACGTTTTCTCCTATGATTTAGAACCTTAGTTTTAAGCAATTTACAAGTTATAGAATGTATAATAATGGAAGAAGGTTGTATTGGAATTAGTTTTAACCCCTAAAAAACTACTCATAACTACATAACTACTCATAAAGTACAAAGACATTATGTTACTTTTTTCTCTTTGATGATAAGATTTTATGGTTTTTTACCATTGTTTAGTATGTGTCTTTTTCAATAAAAAACATTATTTTCTTAATTATTTATAGACAACAAATAATTTAATGTAATTTGTACAAATTTACCAAATTAGTTCACAATAGCTTAATTTTTTTTAAACTAAACCATGTTTTATATTTTACGACTAAACAATAGATTTTAAAATTGTTTTCAGATCAAAGCCCTTGGAAACCTTGGCACGCAGGACTGTGTAATCAACACTGAAGACAGTAATGGATTTTAAACTGTCATTATTCTATCTACAAGACTAATGGAGATATCATACCAGAGACATGACATTGTACTGAGCCTGTCTTCACGCAACAAATCTCCTGACAATCTACTTCTTTAATCCGTCTCTAAGTAAACATTGAGCTGTAACGGAATAGCTAGTGTATGATAGTTATGGTTTTATAAACTTTAGAAGGTATAAACTTAAGATCCGGTTTCAAACGGAACGTTTAAATTATACATTTGAACTTATTTGGCTTTTATTTCTTCGAAGGGGTATCTCCATCAGTAAATAAACTACCATTTTCACAATACTCAGCAAAGTTGTGACTTACACCTCTAGTTATGTCATTAAACCTTGGAAAATATCCGTTGTTTTGAAATGAGAATCCATTTGTTTTTAAATGCTTAAATAATAACATAACGATGCAATTTGCATTATTAACTATACAAATCCGTTTATGTAGGTACCAATACGAACAGTATATTTATATTGTTCCAAAGCATTCACTAAAGCCTATAACACTAAAAATCAAAACTTTTCACAGTTTACATTTTAATGAACAAAACACAATCAAATTGCACTTTTTGTAGCCTACTGGCTAATGTGGGGTAGCCTAATTGCAGTAATTATTGAAAACAAGAGCAAACAAAAGTCAAACATAATTACTAGGCAGCCGACAACAAACTTGGTAAATGTGTTGAAGCTACCACTCTCCATGGGAACTCTGGTAGACAATGCGCTTTGTCTGCTATGTAACTACCAGAGACTGGGTCTCAGACATGTAAATATTTTTAACGTAGTTTCAAACATTTTTTTAATAGGCGTTGCATGGCCTTAAAAAGTTGCCTTATACATTGTGTTTACAATTTTTCTTTGATGACAAAATGTTGTTAGTCAACACTGAAACTGTTGAAAACATTTAGACAGAACTAGCATTCTTTCAGTTGTTGTGAACATTGGTTAATATTAGTTGTAAACCCTGGAGTAATCAAGGCATGAAAACAAAAATAACAAGAATAAAGTTTAATTTAGGCTATACATGAAAATTTAACCAAGTTAAACATAGAAACACCAATAATTGGAATTTCAATAACAGCATATGACTATAAATACAAAATATTTGTATTAAGCCTTTTGATCAAGGACAATTACAAAAATGTTATTAATTAATAAGCACTTGAAACTTGTATCAATATTAAACTGGAGACCTTAACATTGTTCAATACAGTATGTTTTGTCCAAACACGGTTATCTTTGAATATTAATGGTTACAAGTAGATAAGATTGTGACAATCCTAGACCAAAAAAGTGCGAATTCAGAAAATCAATGTAAAATCTCTGTTTTTTAACACAAATCATGTTATGATTCGTGTTCGTGTTAATTTGAATCATAACATGATTTGTGTTAAAAAACAGACATTTTACATTGATTTTCTGAATTCGTACTTTTTGGTCTAGGATTGTCACAATCTTATCTACTATTACATTATTATTACAATAATTGTTTTTACAATGTCAATGGCAAAAACAATTGAAAACAAATTCAAATTAATAAAAAAGTAATTTTTATAAGAAAATTAACAGTATTTCTTAAATTTTTGCACTCAAATTGATAGAGTGGATCATTGCATGTATTTTCCCAATGATAAATAAAATGTCTTATGTTTTCGATCCAAGCACAAACATTTCAGTGTTTCTCTATATTGACAAAAAATTAAATTATTACAAGTTGTTGAATTTAGGGGAGAAACTCAAACATTGCATCGATTACAACACAGATTCATGTTATTCAACTGTCGCTGGAAAAGCAGTTCAAGAATCAAGATATACAGGAAATGTTTAAATCATTCTAGACTGCAGTGAAAATACTGCTTGTCTGTCTCAACTACTGTTTTATTAATACAACTCCACTTCTTCCTTGAATGTTGGGCATGTGGCTTTCACTCCGCACATGTGATTTAGATTGTCTTGTAAAAAACTATTACATCCGACATAGGAGAAAGAGATTACTATGTCTCAGCTATGTTAAGTCTGATCTAAAAATATCCGCAAAGAATAAGGAAGTGTACCCTATTGACAAATAGT